TCTCAACAGCGAACTGCTTTTGCAGCTTGTTGGGCATGCAACGGCTTTGAAGCCTAAAAGCTGGAAGAAAGACGGATGCCGCTGTTGCCACGGCCGGCGAAAACTCACACTCCGCAATGCTGAAACCAGCTGAAATTTCATTCTGATGCAAACTGACTCTGCTGCAGAAGCAGGCACGCACCAAAGCCCCAGTTCAAGCACGCCAGGCCCGGTCGCTGGCCACGGACGCGACGCCAGATGCGCAAGGGCACTTTTCAGCTGGGATCGCCCCTGCCTCGCCTCCACAAAAGCTGAAACTCCGGGAATGCAGTTCAGGCTGACAGACTTTGTCATGACCAACAGGTGCGACACCGCAACTTGCCCCCATGGCAGCGAGACCCAACTGAGCGTGAGCCTGGGAGCGAGCTTGTCCCGCTGAAGTACTGCACAAAACCGAAGCACTGTTCTGAGGGCACCTGGAAAAGACCCGGGACGGCACTTCTGCATCGTCACAGAAGGCAACACCCGAGAAATGTCGGAGATGCGCCTCTCGCCCAGCGATGCCACTCGGCGTGCAGCTGCCAGGTGGCATCTTAGCCGTGGCGCTGTAGAGACTGCGGACAGCTGGCAGGCAGCTGCGGCAGGATCTGCAGACGATGACCCTACATTCAGCATCTTCACAAGAACCAGTCCTGCTCCTTCACTACAACTGCCATACACTTCATGATAGAAGCACGACGGGTGTGCTACATGTTGAACCGACACCAACCGCACGTGGGATTTTCTGATGATAGACTGTTCCCCTGTGCAGACTGCGATGATCAGTTTGGAGCGGCACTTGCAGCAGTGGCGCATCAGCACGGGTAAAGCCGGCACGCTGAAGCTCGGGAAACGCGCCAGCGCTAGAACCCCGGATCCTGCCAAGCTGACGACCCCGAGAGAAGCATCAAGCTCCACAAGCTGAACAATATGAAGACGTCGGGCCTCTAGATTCCCCAATTCTTCCCTTCGCTGCGAATGTTGCAGAAATGCCTTCAACGACTCCCCGAACCAGGAGATACATGCTGAGGTCGAGCCCGCAAGCGACACACCTGATGGGGTGAATGGTGGCGAAATGTTCAGCACCTGGACTTGGGTGCTCAACCCATCCGGATTCGGCGTGAGCATCTTGAAGGCGAACCACCTCAATCGGGCAACACGCCTGACACAGAAGCCATTACACCCGCAATGGAGTAGTGGGTTGTAGGCCAAACCACAATGAATGGACCTGCCTGCAGGAAGCTGAGATGCCATTCTGGAGGAACTCCGTAGGGACACGCGGGGCATTGTCGGCTGCCGCATCCGTCCCGCTGATGCGGCCTGTAATCCAAGGAACCACTTTGTTGCGCAGGACTGGTTTGTCGTGCAACCAGCGGCCTCTGCAATCGAACTGAGGTCTGCCCAAACAGCAGTTTGAAGCTGGAGGAGCTGGCTTTTGCATGGATGCAACGAGTGCTTCTCAAGCATGTGTGCCAGAATGGCCGTTGCAAAGCTGGAGAGGTACGGGATGCGCGGACACGCGGTGACTTCACACAGCCCAAACCGGCAGGGGTGGACCTTCAGCACCTGGTGAACTTGGGTGCTCAACCCATCCGGATTCGGCGTGAGCATCTTGAAGGCGAACCACCTCAGTCGGGCAACACGCCTGACACAGAAGCCATTACAAACTTCCCCGCAATGGAGTAGTGGGTTGTAGGCCAAACCACAATGAATGGACATGCCTGCTGGAAGCTGAGATGCCATTCTGGAGGAACTCCGTAGGGACATGCGGGGCAATGTCGGCTGCCGCATCTGTCGAGCTTGCTTGGTTCGCAGTGCGACTGGCTGCCATAGCGTGGAGGACAAAACCACAAAAGGGCTGCATGGTGAACTAAGTTCTGCTCAAAGAAATAGATACTGAGGAGGCTGGCATTTTGGACGTCGAGGACAAGAGACAGAGTGCGACTTTTGCCAAGAGCATCGCAGAACCAGCTTTGCAGAGGCCGACCAACTGCTACAACTAGGCATGCACGGCACCCACCGCGAAAATGCAGCTCCGTCCCTCAGATGCAGACGACACATCAATAGCGAACCCCGGTTCAAGGCCTCATCGACCACAGAAGTCGACTGGAGATGCATGTGGCCTGGTTGGAGCCAGGACTTCTGAAATGCTGCACGGGCGACACTACCACGACAGCCTCTGACTGCAGGACGTGCAAATACCACCCTGAATGAAGGACCCACGGAACTGATGCCAGTGATCAAACAACCCCGCAGATGGAGGAAAGGTCCAGCTCGCACTGTTGAGGTAGGCACCGAACAAGCTTCAAAGTCAATCTCATAGGCGGTGGCTGCGTCTGTGCTGGGCACTAGATGATGTGGCATGGCTTTCAGCTTCGTCACCGCTTGAAGCCGGCGGGGCACCTGGAATGCAGATTTGATGGGACCCTTACAAGGCCGAGGGCTCGCAACGACATTCACAAGGTCGAGCAAAAGCCAGCGAAGTGGAGCCTTGGACACAAGCGGCTGGACTACAGCAGGCCGGGCTACTGGAGGCTCATGCGACGCCAGGCAGATTTGAGCTTTCTTTCGTCGCGTCCGTCCCCAGCCAAACGGATCAGGACCCATCGAGACGACGCCAGTTGGCAAGGAAACGCACTGAGCGACTCGCAGTGTTGAGGTCGGCACCGAGCAAACTTCAAGCAATGCTTTGAGCATGGTCATTCCGCTGATATGTATGCACCAGCTGCCCACTTCAGCCTCAGAACGCTGGACGGATTGCAGAAGCCATGCCGGCTGCGCACGGATTGGCACTTGAAATGCATGTGCCCGTCTAGCATGCCAACAGTTCACGACTCCAAGACAGGAATCGTAGCTGAGAAACACCTTCACGACTGATGCCTCGTGCAAATGCAGTATTCCATGATTTGGCTGCACAAAAAACTGCAAACTACAAACCCACAAAGAACCATCCTGCTCCCGATTTTGCAGTATTGGACCGTGAAGCAAAGTCGAGAATCCGGCCCTCGTCCCATTTCCTGGAGGCCGGGGTGCAAGGCACATGTGCGCCACAGACATAAACGCACCCGCAAACTTTAATTTCGGGAAAACTGCCCGGATTTGAAGTTTGCGAGTTTGCCATGACGAAAAGTGAAGGCCTTGCACATGCCCCAAACCAGCTGCGCTGAAGCTCAACAACCGTGACGCTCGGGGATGAGGGTCAGCAGTTGTAGGTGCCTCATGCACTTCTTCCAGCATCTTGTGCTGCAATGGAATAGTGAGATGAATCTTCTTTGCCAGAATGTCACCAACCATGGTGAACGGCGTAGAACCCAACATTATATCCTGGCAGGTGGACAGAAGCTGCCGGGGCTTTGCAGGGCCAGGGCCGGTTCACGTGTGTCGTTGACCGATAAAGGCAACTGTTGAAACATTGAAGCTGTACCCCAAACGCCAGATTAGGAATCAGGATGTTCCAGGTGTCGGATTCACGTGGACCGCACACAAACACCAGTCATACGCCTTAGCATTTCCTGGTCTCACGCCCTGATTTTGAGTTCAAAACTACGCACCCCACAATCCCCACATGGGCTTCGAAGCCTGGCACCTACAACCTTACGTCGCAACCCGAGACATCCCATGGCGGGCAATTGCCCATGATCTATTCCTTTTCAAACATACATCACACACCAGCAAACCCAGAACCCCAGGTCAAAGTGCGGAGTTGACACGTCTGTTACACTGCAACCTGTGCAACCGGCCTGGGCCTGTAGCTCGGCGTTGGGAGACACCATGCGTTGTAGCATCGTGCCGTCAACATGGGTTGGGGCTCAATGCTTCTGCTTGGGTGATAAGAATTTCAGGGGAACTATGAACACAGAGATGTCAATTCAACTATGCTCCAGCTGTGAATAAACCACCTGCGGTCAACAAACCATGTTGCACAACATGACTGTCGCTTCAAGGCCTGAGCAACAACGCTTCTTCGCCAAATTTAGCAAAAGAAGACGCGATTCATGGAGGATCTAAGCTTAACGACAGCGTAAACTGGCCCACCGGTCCTACGGATGTTGCAGCTGGCGACTTGTGAATTGTTTCACGGTGGTTGGTGGCAGACACAAGCTGCGGCCTTCCGACAGGTTCAGGGTGTTCGGGTTGGGGCAAAGGGGCTCAGGGCTCCACTCGGAACAGGCTTGTATGCTTACGGGGTTGAGGGCTAGCAGGGTCGCATTGTTTTAAGATTACACAGGCAGCACTCTGCGGCTGGACTGTCCACTGTCTGTTCCAGCACGTGCCCGGTCGACTATATAGACCGTGTGATGTCAACCCCGGCGTGATCCACAAATCATTGCTGCCTTCAACCCAACAGAACTTGGGGCATTTTGCCTCGTGTGAGCTTGGCAGGCTTGTTGCTTGTTGAGTTTTCGTGCAACCCTTTTAGCCCAGCAGGACAACTCCACCCTGGCTGGCCACTCTTGCCAAGGTAAGTCGATGCCAGTTTGCTTTTCGTTTACAAGGGGTGCCCTGAGAGCCCTCAAACTCAGGTCAGCGGGCCGGCATGCAGTTGATGTAAGCAATTGTCCTGTAGCCCTCCCGGGAAAGAAGGACATGTACAGTTTAATTGGTCGTGCTCTCCGAACGAAGGCACGAAGGAGGCGCGTCGAAGCGCATCCGGCTGTGCATGTCCACAGTCGGCTGCATTGTTTGCTTTCCTTTGTGTGCTTGAGGCCCAAAAAACCGAAGCTATGAGCGTGTATCGTCATTCACAAAAGTGCACAGTGTATGGCATTACTCACTTGGACGGGCCTAGCAGTGCCGACCCAATGGTTGGGAGTGAGACTTCTTAGACTGCTGGCTTGCAGCAGGATTTGGGATTATATAGGGGCTACCTGAAAGAAGTTAAAGGTTATCTAGATGTACCTACTCTACTACTAAGTTTGCCACAAGAGCACGACTCAAGTCTGCAGCACCTTTCGTAACGCACGCAGCAAGTCATTCCGCGCTAGCGCTAACTGGTGGCGTGTGGTCCGGTGCTGGCCTGCAAAGGAGGATGCCGAAACAGCAGCTTCAAAGGCCGGGTACCAGCGGTCAAAGGCTCTCTGAGCCAAGCCGTGCTGTATAAAAAGACTCCAAGCTTCCATCCAGCGCGTCCCCTTGCTGCATGAGCTGATCGCGGAACCAAGTGTGGCGCTCGACAGCCATGATTCTGGCACATCGGAGATGTGTTTTATGGCCATGCGCCACCTGCTCGAGCAGGCTGAGACAAGAAGTCCATAAGTGACATCGCTCCATTCAAGGGCGACCTGCCGGAGTTCGTCGGACAGGGACACTGCGATTCGCCACTGTGTGGCAGCCCCACAGCTCGCGGCTGCAGAGTTGAGGCTTATGACGTCGCTGCGCAAAGAAGTCCCCCGCATTCGCTGGAGCAGCTGCGGCGTCACACGCCAACAGCTCGCCTCGAGGCCTTGAGGGTTTAGTTTAGGGTTTAGGGCAGTTAAGTACTAGGAAGTGCAGTTCCATGTGAGTTCAGACTCTTAAAATCTCGTAAGGCGCCGTCCCCCTGCGCTCTTAAGGCGATGTTTTATTTTCTGATCAAGATGAGACAGGCCGGTGTCTCGAATCATGCCGTGTGGGGAAAAACCATGAAAAACTGGGGCGGGCGCTGGTGCTGGCTGCCGCGCTGAAGACTTGTAAGGCAGGCTTTCCATCTCGCCAAGCCTCTTGCTCCAGGAGCTGGACTGATGCTTCCCATTGCGAGAGCTTGCTTTGGCCCTCTGTCAAGGACACCAAGCCAGTGCCCAATGGGCCCGAAAGGCTCTGCGACTTCACCAGCTTGCTATCTGCGAGTTCTAGGGCACTTTCCCACATTGCACCTTTGACACAAGCTCCAAGTGAAATCACCGGCAACAAGAGGTCATCTAGGTGGGTCTTTGTAGGTGGGTTCATGACGTCACTGTGCCAGGACTTCGTCAGCACCCACACAGACTGTCTCCAACCGCTGAAGGAGCTACACGCTGAAGCCAGAGAGCAATAAGTCACGGCATCTGACCTTAAGAACTTGAGCTGAAAGCGGTCCAGTGCCACGAAGGCTCGATGCCAGCTCGTCGTGGAGCTGCTTGTGCACATCCTGTTCCAAGTGGCCGTATCTGGCAGCAGGCCCCTTTCCTCCCACATGAAGCCTGCATCCAGTGCTCTGAACCAGAGTTTGGCGATCTGAAGGGCATCCATGCTCGTTCCGACGGAGAGAGTGTCTGCTCGTAGGCCATCAAAGCCAGACGTAAGCCTCCCCAAAACATTGACAACCTCAGGGGTGCATGGGCCTGCAACACGAACAGAAACGGCTCCAACCAAACTACCCCTGGCCCCTGTAGGCTCGGGCAACTTCCCTTTGGTTCTTCCAAGTTCCTCCCACCTGCTGCCACAAGCTTCTTCGAGAAAGGCTGGTCATGCCTGCATTTATACCTGGAGTGCTGAGCATGCCGGGGGTGCCCATGAAAAGAAGTACTCGTTGCCACTGCAGCGCACCTGCACAGCAGCGTGCTGCAGAGTTGAAGGAGATGGCGTCACAAACCAAAGAGCACGCGCGCAGCGAGGCAATGCAAAGCAGCCCGTTTGTCCATCTCTTCTGCGAAGCTGCCACCGCAGAGTTCCATGATATGACATCTGTTTCAACAAGCAGCCAAGCTGCCTCCTGCAGGGTTTGCATGCTGACCTGCCAGCAGTCCTCAATGCCACTGGCTGCCAGGAGAGTATTCAGCAGCACCACGCCGTCGCCACGCATCGCAATTTTGGACTCGGCAAGGAGGGCCGTGGCTCGTAGCCAGGTCTTGCCGAAAAGACTCCTCCTGCTGCCTTGAACTAGGCTGTTCATCACGCTCCCAAGGGTGACGACGGTCGGTCTGGTCAGCATGTCTTGCATGCGTTCGAAAGTTTGTACCACTTGCCGCCATCTACGAAGCACGGCCATGACTTTCATGCCCGCATTGAATGCTGCAGCGTCTGGTCGAATTGGCCAGCAGGCTTGGTCAACTGTTTCCAGCAGATGCAGTGCCTCATCCCATTGGTGCCTTTTGCCAAGTCTGGAAATGGCCCCGGCCAAGCCCCAAAGCTTGCCGCCTCGCAGCCCTATGCCCAATGCCTCGAAGTCCATGGAACTGGACTCCAAGGGGCTCAAGGGACAGCAAACCATGCATTGCGCGAGCCATTCCAGTTCCGGTAGGGCGGCACAGGGCTGCCACAAGAACCACAGTGCAGCCGGAGGATACCGGAGCAGCAGCGCAAGGCGTAAGTTTTCGGAGCAGCCTTTGAACTCAGGCCATCGGATCTGGCAACAGAGCGAGCGCTAGTTGTCCTGCAATGCGTCTTCTAAGGCGTGTGAAGCATGGGACAAGCTACCGGCAGCTACGGACTGGCTTAAATACATGATCTTCCATGCGGATACATTCATGGGCCTGCCACGCATAAGCAATCGTTCGCACCACGTGGGTTCCATCGGGTTTCAGATTTCTGGGGTTGCAACGGTTGCATTGCTCGCGCACAGGCTTTCTACTCCTGAAGCTTGACTTCTGTACACCTGCTGTTGTTCAGCAATACTCGCATCGACGCATGGCAGCCAGGAAAACATCAGGCATACAAACTCCTGCCAGGTGACCGCCAAAACACATTCATTCGGCTGTACAGGTTTGTGCCTCATAGAACAACAGAGCCGGTCTAGAGACCAACCGACACTGCTTTCAGGCTAGTGCTGCCATCAAACTGGCATGGCAGACCAGAGGAGGTCCACTGTACCGAGGGCTCAAGCGGAAGCCAGAAGGCCTCGGCGATGCAAATTCGTTTGACCCCTCCATACCGAATCCTTCTATCTGCTTTTGTCAGTCTTTGTTGCCCCTTTTCGACGGGACTCAGGCGTGATACGTTGGCCGCGTGTCGTCGCGCTAAGCGATCGAAGAACTCCAGGAGACTGAGCATGCGAGGCCACTTTGTCAAAGCTCTGATCGGGACAACTTGTTCTAGCGGCAGCAGTGCCCTAGCACTGCCCTAAAATGCGGGCGGGGGCTTGCAGATGCCCGGCCTTTGACGACCATCGAAAGACCGACTGCTCCCACCAACATCCTGCGCATCGGCAGAGGAAAGTAGCTACAGGCAGCTGAAGGTCACAGACGTGCCCCATGCTCCTTGGCTGCGCGATCCATGGCTTCATGGCCTGCCAGCGATCTCTGTCCAGCATGGTCAGGCCACAGAGACTGGAACTTGTAGCTTTCTTAGTGGCGTTAGCCCCTTAAGCTGCGCCTTGATCAGAAAGCGCACGAAGGAAGAACCTGTGACTCTGAACCTTTGCAGGGTCATCGTCCTCGGCCTTCTTCTCTTCTTCCCTGTTCGGGGGAGCCATGACGGCAACAGCTACACAGTGGCTGAAGGATTGCAAGTGGCACGTTTAAACGGAGTGGGCTCGCCTTCAAGGGATATCACGTCGCCAACACAATGCACTCACAGCTGCGCCCTTTGCAAATTCAAATGTCTGCATCAAGCAGACACGTTGCCCTGAAAGTCCATAGCCGCTGCCTCTGCGCAACCAGAGTGACGATGAAATCATGGGGCCTGAGGTAATGGACGGCAAACTTGAGATCTTGAGATTCGTTGACATATACTGGACATTACTGGACGACATTTCTGGACATGGCCGATGCCACCCAACTACCCGGGACTATGCAATCATGGCACGCTCTCGCAAAGCGGATCTCCTCCTTTCTATGACCCGCAACATCCTTACCGAAGCGTGAGCAAACAGCTGAGCGGGCTGAGCTGGCGACCCCCACACCCCTTCCAACGCGTACAGGGGCACGTTCTTTTGCATCTCTGACACCTGAAATGTTTTCTCTCTCTTTTTTGCTCGATGAACTTTCAAGGACGATTCTTTCGATAGTCGGCGTTTCTTCTTCTTGTGAGCTGCCCGTTCCAACCTCCACCCCACCCCACGAAACAAGAAAACATGGCCCACCCTGCCTGACTGCCTGAACCAACAACGCACAGCCCATGTTGGAGGTCTGAAATGTCATGTTGCAAGTCGCGACACATTGCGAGAAAGGCGCACCACAAATTAATGTGTCATGGTGACTAGTGCGGCTTTTTTGGACATCCGGGCTCTTTGTCAATCCTACATGAATGCAAACAGAGTTGGGATATGTCCGTCGCCTGGACAGTTTGTTTGAGCTGAACTTCTGGCCGTTGCCTCAGGCCTCATGACTGAACTGTTCTGCAGCTGCCCGCGCTTGATGCTCATGGACTTTGCACACTGTGTCCAGCAAGGCTAGCTAGCCACCTTACTTGTCGGGCCTCAACTGAGAATCCTTTCCGCTGGCTCTGTCCGTGTCATCCCAACCATTCTCAACCACGATTCGGCTCTCTTCGTATCATTCAAGGTCGCGACTGGCAATGGCCAAGCAAAAATCGCCCCCAAACGTCCTGGAAAAACTTCCAGGCCCTCGACGTCCTGGGCCTTCCCTCCAAGGTCCTGTACTAAGCCCAGGGCCACTCGGGCATCGATCATTCCGGCTCCCGGTGGCCTTATAGCCGCTCAAAAACAATGTGCAGACATCATGTTGCGATGAATGCAAGCGTGCATGCGGAGGACTGTGCAGTGGCATTTGGGGGGGGGGGGGAGGGAATATTCTAGCTAAAGATGAAGCTACAGACTATAGATGTCAGACCCATTGGAGATTAGATCGGCGCATTCGATCGATAGGAAGCATGAGAAACTAGATATGAGGTTGTACAGTAGATTGTAGTGATTACAGATCTTGGATACTCGATACTAAAGACGAGAGATTTGTGGTAGATATTCGTCATAGACAACATTGATAGTCGATCATGATGTGTGTGTGTGTGTGTGTGTGTGTGTGTGTCTGTCTGTCTGTCTCTGTGTCTGTCTGTCTCTGTGTCTGTGTCTGTGTCTCTGTGTGTGTGTGTGTGTCTGTGTGTCTGTGTCTGTGTCTGTGTGTCTGTGTGTCTGTGTGTCTGTGTGTCTGTGTGTCTGTGTGTCTGTGTGTCTGTGTGTCTGTGTGTCTGTGTGTCTGTGTGTCTGTGTGTCTGTGTGTCTGTGTGTCTGTGTGTCTGTGTGTCTGTGTCTGTGTGTCTGTGTGTCTGTGTGTCTGTGTGTCTGTGTGTCTGTGTGTCTGTGTGTCTGTGTGTCTGTGTGTCTGTGTGTCTGTGTGTCTGTGTGTCTGTGTGTCTGTGTGTCTGTGTGTCTGTGTGTCTGTGTGTCTGTGTCTGTGTCTGTGTGTCGCTGGGCGTGTGTATGCCCTGACAAGCCACCAGCCTCTCACTGCTCACAAAGGCTTTGGGATGGATGCTTTGGGATGCCTTGGGGCAGCGCCAGAGTTGGCAGCTTGCCCCGAGTCGACGCAGGCCCGCTGCGGCCTTGGTCTCTGCTCTTGAGTCTCTTGTGCTGCGGTCTTCGAGACCCCATGGTAGGCGATAGCGCGGACATACTGGAATGGTCGGCTCCCTGATCTCTGAGAAGCGAGCATGAAGGGCCTGGAAAGAGGGAGCCATCAGGTTGGAGTAAGTGCAGTGGCAGCAGATGTGCCAGTTCTCAAGAAGTGTTCATGTCTACCCGAAACAGCTGTAAACCAAGATGTTTGCAGCCAGCAGCACTACACCGGAAGGCCCATAGTATCAGATCCTTGGTCCTTGGTGCAACTCCAGGTTTAATTCTGCAAAGTGGTTCCCGCGCCTCGACGTGCAAATGAAAGATGTGGTTCTCCGTGGCCTGGAAGGCTTGGAGCCTGAGCACTGTGCGCCACTCAACTTTAGGGTTTTTGATGTTGCCACCAGCCAAGCCGACCAGGGTTCAGGGTTTGGGGTTTCGACTCTCACCACGGGTTTAAGGTTTACAGGGCTTCGTGTGCGAAAGTGCCACCCGAGCATCTCGCCTGCCATCCTCGCTGGAAGCAGGTCCCAAAAGCACGCTGGGCCAACCTGAGCTCGAGGGTTTCGGGTGTAGGGGTTAGGGTTTAGGAGGCAAGTCTCTCAACCCAAGAAGCCACGTGGGCGCTCTTGGAAGGCGGCGTCATATCACAAAATCATTGTGCTTAATAAGAATACACAAATCTACGTAGGGCCCTACGTAGATATAAACATTAAAAAACTATAAACATTATAAATATTAAAATTACTACGAGTATAAGTATATATGTATGTATGTATGTATGTATGTATGTATGTATGTATGTATGTATGTATGTATGTATGTATGTATGTACGTGTATATGAAGTTTTTCTATGTGTCATCTAAACAATACTGTACATTACATATAACGTACAATTTTGACAATGTACAAATTTAATTAATACGTTACAAATGTTTTGCATACAAGCATGCTATGATAATCTGTAGAGTATATTGAGCATATGTGATTTTTGCACAAGCCCTTGGGCTCAGGATGTAACAGGCTGCTTGACGACCAGCCTGGCGCCACCATGGGATGAAAACCTGGGCATTCAGTTTTCTGGTGCATGTAAGTATGTATACATACGTACATACATACATACATATATATATATATATGTGTGTACATTCGTAATGGGTAATATCCGCCGACCCCAGCAACAGCGGGGCGGCGTCAGTGAAGACCCTCCCTGCCCTCACCGCAACCTCTTCCCCCTTCCCCTTCCCAACCATTCCACTCCACCTCTCCACTTGGCCTTGCCTTCCGCCCCTAACCTCCCACCACCAACCCCTTCCCCTGCCCCCCCTCCCACCCTTCCCAACCATTCCACTCCATCCTCCTCCCCGACCCCCCCTCGCTCCCCACCACCCTTCCCCTTCCCAACCATTCCACTCCACCCCCATCCCGCTCCCCTCCCCCTTGCTCCCGCCCCCGGACCGCTCCCCTTCCCCGTCTCTGTCCCTCCTCTCACCGCTTTCACCCCACTCGGCACTCCGCCCTCCCCTACCCCCACGCCCCCCATGCAGGCTTACCCTCTCCCTACTACTCCCCCTCACCGATCTCTGGCAAGTTGGGTGAAAGAGGAGGGACGAGCAAGGGGGAGGGGTGGAGTGGAATGGTTGGGAGGGGTCAGGGGAAGGGGTTGGTGGTGGAGGGGGGTAGAGGAGATGAGGTAAGTGGGTGGGGCCACTGAGCATTAGGGGTGGGGGTGGGAGGGAAGGGCGGGGCAAGGAGCGGGCGGAGCGGGGCGGGCATGAGAGAGGGAAAGGGCCAGAGGCCCGCAAAACTGTGGGGCCATGAGCCAGTAGTCACAGAAAAGGGGACCATCAAGGGCGAGGCCCGGTGAGCTAGGTGGGGGGGAGGGTGGGGTGTGGGTGGTGGGTGGGGAGAGCGGGGGTGGGGGGAGGGAAGGGGGGAGCAAACGGAGGGGGCGGAGCGGAGGGGGCGGGTGGCATAGGGGTTGGGGGGGGGAGGGTGGGGTGGGGGGTGGGGGGTGTGTGGGGGGGGATGGGGGGTGGGGGGTGGGAGGGAAGGGCGGAGCAAGGAGCGGGCGGAGCAAGCGGAGGGGGCGGGCATGCACTGGAGCCCCTTAAAGTCAGTCATCTGATCCAGTCTGAAAAGGCAAAAGGGCGCAAAACTGTGGGGCCATGAGCCAGTAGTCAGGGGGAGGGGACCATCAAGGGCGAGGCCCGTAAAACCAGGTCATCGGGGGGAGTTGGGGGGGTGGGGTGGGTGGGGGGGGTAGTCATCTGATGCAGTCTACAAAAGGGCCAGAGGCCCGTAAAACTGTGGGGCCATGAGCCAGAGCCAGGGCAGGGGACCATCAAGGGCATGGAGCCATTGGCCAGCTGGCCAGGGAGGGGACGGTGGGAGGCCGGAGCCCTTTAAAGTCAGTCAGCTGGGCCCGTGAAACCAGGTGGCGCCGCTGGGCATAGGGCCGGGGGTGGGGGGGTGGGGTGGGTGCGGGGGGGAGGGTGGGGGGGATGGGAGTGGGGGGAGCGGTCAGGATCGGGGCTGAAACAGCAGAGATCGGGAGGGGCGGAGTGCCGCATGGGGAAGGGGTGGGGGGGGGGGGGGCGTGGGGGTAGGGGAGGGCGGAGTGCCAAGCGGGTGGCAAGTGGGGTGAAAGCGCGAGAGGGGGGACAGAGATGGGGAGCGGGGAGGGGAGCGGGATGTAACCAGGTTGAGCCACTGGGCATAGGCTTGGGGGGGGGGGGGGGGGGGGGGGGGGGGTGGGGGGGGGGAGGGTGGGGGGGGGGATTGGGGAGTTGGGGGGTGGAAGGCCCCCGCTCCCCCACCCCCACGCCCCCCACCCCCTTCCCCATGCAGGCCTACCCTCTCCCGACTACTCCGCCCCTCACCGATCTCTGCCCAATCCACGCCCCCTGACCCTGCCCCCCAACTCCCCAATCCCCACTCACCCCACCCCCCCACCCCCCCCCCCCCCCCGGCCCTGTGCCCAGTGGCTCATGGCCACCTGGTTTTACGGGCCTGACGATCAGCTGACTGACTTTTTTGGGCTCCGCCCTTCCCGCACTCCGCCCACCCATCGGCCCCTGACTTCCCTCACCATCACCGTCCCCCCCCCCCCCTGGCCAGCTGGCCATGGCCCCCTGGCTCCATGCCCTTGATGGTCCCCTGGCCCTGTGCTTACTGGCTCATAGCCCCACAGTTTTACGGGCCTATGGCCCTTTGCCTCTCTAGACTCGATCAGATGACTGACTTTAAAGGGCTCCAGTGCATGCCCGCCCCCTCCGCCCGCTCCGCTTGCTCCGCCCTTCCCCCCCCCCCCCCCCCCCCCCCCCCCCCCCCCCCCCCCCCCCCCCCCCCCCCCCCCCACACCTTGGAAAATTTGGGGTCGGCGGCACTGGCCATTAAATCAGGCAGCGCGAGGTCCCCAAAGGACCGAGCAAATGCGGACCTTTTAGCCCGGGTCGTCCCGGGAATAGCCTTGCTGGCCTCTGGCCTTCTGCGAAGCAGAATTAGGCCGGACGCCAGTGCCGCCGACCCCCGCGTGCCGCCGGTGAACGGTTTTTTTTTCGTGGTTTTTTGCGTCGCCACGGAGGCCCCCAGAGGGCGCGCATCATGAGCATCAGCGGGTCCAGCCCGGGACCCCAGGCGCGCATCAGGAGCATCAGCGGCTCCCGGGGCGGGACCCCGGGGGCGCATCAGGAGCATGATGCCCCCCAAAGGGCGGGCATAAGCGACGTGTCTAAGCCCGGGGCTAGGAAAAAGGGAGTTTAGGGGCCTTATAGAGTGCTTAGAAACGTTAAGGGAGTCTAGGAGCCTCAAACGCTTAGAGATTTGAAGGGAGTTTAGGGGCCTGAGAAAATGCTTAGAAACTTAACGCTTAGAGATTTTAAGGGAGTTTAGGGGCCTCAACATGCTTAGAAACTGCTCGCCCCGAGCTTCTGCGTGCGCTGCCCGCCCATGGGCGCAGCCCCTTAAAATCGGGCAGCGCGAGGTCCCCAAAGGACCGAGCAAATGCGGACCTTTTATTCTGGGTCGTTGCGGGAATAGCCTTGCTGGCCTCTGGCCTTCTGCGAAGCAGAATTAGGCCCGGACGCCAGTGCCGCCGACCCCCGCGTGCCGCCGGTGAACGGTTTTTTTTTCGTGGTTTTTTGCGTCGCCACGGAGGCCCCCAGAGGGCGCGCATCATGAGCATCAGCGGGTCCAGCCCGGGACCCCCAGGCGCGCATCAGGAGCATCAGCGGCTCCCGGGCGGGACCCCGGGGGCGCATCAGGAGCATGATGCCCCCCAAAGGGCGGGCATAAGCGACGTGTCTAAGCCCGGGGCTAGGAAAAAGGGAGTTTAGGGGCCTTATAAAGTGCTTAGAAACGTTAAGGGGGTCTAGGAGCCTCAAATGCTTAGAGATTTGAAGGGAGTTTAGGGGCCTGAAAATGCTTAGAAACTTAACGCTTAGAGATTTTAAGGGAGTTTAGGGGCCTCAACATGCTTAGAAACTGCTCGCCCCGGGCTTCTGCGTGCGCTGCCCGCCCATGGGCGCAGCCCCTTGAAATAATCTAATGATGTGATTTTGGTGTCCCTGCATCCGTTCCCTCGACAACATTTCGAGCAGTTTTCTCCTGCGCGGCATTTGCGTGTCCACCGCTTGTGGGCGCCTAGGATAACCGATATGCCTGCTATCAGAAAACCAGACTTGACCCGCCGTCCACGACGATGATTTGTCCTGTCATGTACCTTGGTTGTGAGCTGGGGCATTGAGGTGGCACTTTACTAAAAGCTACAGCAGAAGCCCCTTTAGGCTGCACGTTCCTGGCCCTCTGGAAATCTCGCGCTTAATGGTGCTTGAAGGGCTTAGAGTCGAGGTGCTCACAGACGCTTCCTGATATCTTTGCACTGTCGGGGGTTGTCCGGGGCTGTCCAAAGGAGCTTATAAATACGCTGCAGGCGCGGAAAAGGCGCGAGAAGATTCTTAACCGAAATTGTGCGGCCCTTTCCCCCCCGGCGCAGCAGTTCGGATGTTGCTGGAGCAGAGATCGAGCTGAGAACATCTTCCCCGCACAGCTTGCTCCGAGTCGCTGAGAACGGGCACAGCAAACAACTGCATCCGCCAAGTCGTCCTGGCAGTGTCGAGCATGGGGACATCAGGGAGTTTCCGAAATTCGGGGGTACCTTCCTGAGGTCCTTATTGTTATAAGGGAAGCCTGCTATTTGGGGGATATATTAGGGGTCCCTTCTTTTCGTAAACCCCCATCATGGGGATGATCTGCAAGCATGGTTTGTATCGGCAGTTAAGCAGGCTCCCCCCCTTCTGGGTCCTGGTGGGTTTAGAGTTTAGGGTTTAGGCCACCTCACAAATCTTCTCCAACAAAAGTCTTGGGGCACATGCGTCAATATGTAACCCCAGGATGGGCTATTGGCATCTATTGGCTATAGGGCTATAGAATCCCCCTAATCAGTCCTATAAAGGGCCCTTCTTAAAAAGGGGTCAGAAGGTGAAAACAAGCCATCCTGGCCCATCAATGCCAAGCTTCTGGTTTTCCGACCCGCTTCAAAGGCGTAAAGCGCGTTACCGCGTCGTAGCTTCCACCCCACTCCTGTCGTGATCATCTGTGAACGTCAAAAATAGCTTAGCTTCTACGCACAGTTGCCGCCCATGCACTCCGGGCGAATGTTAGGGCTATGACTGCTTAACATGATGAAAAGCCCACCCCCCCCCCCCCCCTCCCAAGCAATGCTAGCATGAGGCCAGGCGTCATTGCCGGCAGTAATCCGGGTCTCGATGAGACCGGGCGCCACGCAGTTGACCCGAACAGGCCCGCAGCTTTTCGCCAACAGCTTGGTGAGCTGATGCATGGCCTGGAAGGATATGTCTTCTTCTCAACAGGCTTGCATCTCTCTCTCCGTTCATATTGTATGTATGTTCATGTAGGTATGTATGTATGTATGTATGTATGAACGCATGTCTTGGAAGGTACCGATTCCCAACACTGCAAGACAAGCACTAAGCTGTCGACAGCGCGTGTCATGCCTGTGCAAGCGGCAGGCTTCATTTGGTCGGTTACACAGATTTCGCGCAACGAAACTACTGTGTGTTCAGGGCACTGTATGGGATGCTGCTGCCCATTGGTCGAACTCCAGCCACTGATCCGATCATCACGATCGACGCATCTGGTTCTCGCTTCAGATAAGGCATAGCCTTGGCAGCTAGTGAGTTGTGAACCCACTGATACGGGGTACCCTTTTGCATGGGGTGGCTCACTTCTCTTTGAAACACGCCAATGCAGGTCAGCAACAGCACGGCTAAGCCATAGCGGTCCAAAGCAATTCAAAGCCTCGTTCACTCAAATCGCGCTTGTCGCACGGCATCCGAAACTTGCCGTTCTTGCACTGTCATGCAGTGGGCTTCTGTGCACGTGCCAATTTCATGGGCACAAGCTGAGGTTTGCACGAAGATCTTGTAGATGTACCTCATCCCCGGAAAGGCGAGCCACAAGGCGATCGACACCAGCAGGTTTAAGTTAAGCATGGGAACTTTGATCTCTGCTTTCCAGTACTTGCAACGTGTCCATCCGTCGACAGGGACCAGCGGCGTCTCTTGAGAGACGTTCAAGCGCCGGTAAGGGAAAGGCGGCAGGCTGAAGTAAGCGTGAAGCACAGAGGTACATCAGGAATGACACGTTGACCTGTCCGTTTCTTGACCCACCCTACGGTACTCTTGCTGAAAGAGGCTGGCCAAGGCACGCGAATCACCGTGTGTCTGACAGGAGCGCTGGGAGTGAAGCTGGAGATCAAGGCAAGAGCGTGTAGACATTTGTGGTGACCAGCAGCTCGGCCACTTCTGGCCCTCTGGCCCGGGACGGCCAAGGCATACGTCCCAAACAGGATCAGCAGAATTGGCACATTGATTAGCCATGCAACATTGAAAAACCTGCACACCGGCAAGCCATCCATGTCAGGGTCACCAACTGTAGCTACACGCGCAAACCAAGCTTTATCCCCAATGAGGAAGACCAGGTTCTCTACCAAAAGTACGGCGAAGGCGGTGCGTAGCAGAGCTGATGGGACAAGGGTCACTCGGGATGACATGGATGTCGCCATCCTGCACCTCTTCCAGGTCCACGGCAGTTTCAAGCAGTTTCAAGCCCTTTTCCAAGAGACTTCGCCTGCCCCCAGAACCGGAGGGTTGAATCCGCGCAACGTCCGAAAGGCACTTCAATTTCTTCAATGTCCGGCAGGTTCGCTCTGAGTTCCACTGGGGTTGCAGCTGAAGCTGGCTTCAAGGTGCTTCGATATGCTTCACATCAGTGATTTGAGCCAGGTCCCCAGAATGGCCAGGCAAGTGCTGGTTCCCCGACACTAGAAGTCACTAGCACTTCAGGCACATGAGTCACATAAGCAGTGCAACACTGGAGGCACTCATCATCGATCAGCTCGAGCTTCTCGTGTGGTATGACCTTGCCGACGCCGGCATTGCCTGGAGGACAGCCAGGAGGGCAACATAGGGCAACAAAAGACAAGCTCTGAGGTCCAAGTCTCCAAGTGCCACCGACTAGCCGAGATGCATATCAACAGGTCAAGCCGGCCACATCGCTTGACAACCTCCTCGATCAAGCCCTCGCAGCCCTCTCGTTTGCTGCAGTCTGCACGTATGTACAATGCTCCTGGCAACGCAGCTGCCAGAGCTGTCCCTTCTTCCACCGTGCTGTGACCTTGGTCGACCACTCCTCTCCCCCCAAGTCGGCACGAACCAAAAGCCGTCGGATAAGGTATGTAAGATCACGCGGTCAAGCAAGGCAGTGTTGTGCAACTACGCCCAGAGCAGCCCATGAGTATTTCGGCCGCCGACTGTTCACAACCACCCGGTAGCCTTCGGCCGCGAGGCGCTGGGCTACAGCCTGCATCGCATTGAGAATTTTGGTCGCAACAATACAGCATGATTCAGCATCAGACTGACCGGCCTTGCCAATGCCACTGGAACTCCCCGTAATCAATGCCACCTTCTGCTGCTCCTCTGCTGCGCCTGATGCCGATGTAGACATGCCAAAGACGTGCAACGACATAACTCGCACCCTTTACCAGCTAAGGAGTCTCTTCAGGCAGGCTCGTGGCGGCCGAGTCTCAAGGTGATCTCGACGGCTGCTTCAAAACAAAAGCACTGGCTCCAGCCCCAAGCCCCAGGAGGGGCAGGAGGCCCTGCCGATGGCACGAAGTGAGACGAAGAGCTGTTGGAGAGATTTCGTGAGCACATGGCTAATGACTCCGATTGATGGCGGCAATCGTACACTTGCATCGATGAGGCATTCGCCTGTCCGCGAGGAGGACGCGGCAGCTTCAGCAGCGTAGTGCAAGCTCGGCGATGGAAACGTGCCCACATACCTAGTGAGTCCTTCTTATCGGCTACTGGCGGCTACAGGTGACGCTCAGAGCCACAGGAGCGACACCATGAAAAGCGACCAAAACACATCCTGCAAAGCCCTTCTGAAAGTGCACTGTAAAGCTATCTCAATGACTTTCAAGGCTCAGGCAGGCAGCGGCGTCTTCCCACGCCTTGCAGCGTTGAGCAGAGACATCTTCACGACAGGCTCGTGCATGACGTGCCATTAGAAGCTTGACATTGACATCCGGCAGATGCGTTGCAGATTTGGGCTCGAGAGAGGTAGTGCACTGTAAGACTCGTTGAAGCACATGTTTTCTCTAGATTTTCCAGTGCCCCATCCGTCCTGGAAGGCTACTTTTCGTTGTGGGACCCTGGGCCCAGAAAGTTGAAGGCTGCAGCATAAACCTGGGATGCTTACCACTTGCAGGATGGGTAGCCAAATCAAGTTCATCTCCATCTTCTAAGGTCCGAATTCGGGCATATATATATATATATGTGCATATCACTGCCCTTGCTGATGATCAAGGCTATCGCAGCTGAACGCCTTCCTCCCCTCCCTCCTAGAGCTTGCCCCGGTCTCTCGATCTTGTCACAATTTACATGCTGGGCGCGCACTCTGTCTCGCACTGAGCACTCGGGTCCTTGCCCACAAGTGCCAGTGCCAAGTGCACCAACGTGCACGACTTAATGATGTAGTGAGACTGAAGTGCCTTCAATCGGCACTCCGCACAAGAAGACTTGAGTCTGTTGCTCAAATCTGTCAAAATTTGAAAAGACGCTAAAGGCGCAGGAGGACACATGCTTGAAATTGAACAAAATGAATGTAGCCCCCTTGAAATTGTCACCCGTCCTGCTGGAACTGTGAGCCTTTTGGACACGGGACACGGTCCTGGTTGACTTGCAGCTTCGACCTGGCCACGGGATTGCCACGCCTGAGGGTCTGCTGGAAGCCTCTGACCGCAGTCCGCAGTGTCGTACATCAAGCAGTCCAGGGATGCTGCTCTTGATCGCCCATGGCCCCATGGCCGATGTTGCTGATGGCCGGCCCCACTCGACTCTGAACTCTCAGAGTCTCTGAGTCAGTGGATGTCAGCGGAAGTTCAGCGGGTCCGGTCCTCGAGGACCACCACTTCAACACGTGGCACCAGGGCTTTGACCAACTCAAGCTCCTAAGCCATGTGACGAAAGGATGGAAGCAACACTAGAGACGAGAGGATACTGACACTGTACACTCATTGCTTAACGTTATATAGTGGCATAACCAAGTTCTTCACCACGTATGGGCGCCTCCTTCCACGAAGGAGCCCCCCCGCCCCACCCACGCCTGCAGCACTCTTAAGTGAACAATGAGCTGCATCCTCCTGCCATGCTTGAGAGCCTTCCAACGACAGCCGTCTTAGTGCCGGCTGCGCCTGTCCAATCCTCAGGTCGAGCCACGCGGCACGAACTCTATAAGCCCTCGTGGAGCGACTTCACAAATAAACCTCTCAAAAGTGGCAAAAGGTTAGTCCTAATCCTAAGTGTGTGTATGTATATATATATATATATATACATATATACATATATACATGTATACATAGATACATAGATACATATATACATATATACATATATATATAGAAATATGTATATATATATATATATATATATATTTTTTGTTCTGTACATGTGTATATATGTATATGAACATGTGTATATATATATATATATACACATGTTCATATATACCCGTTGTCCACCTTACCCCCCCAAGCGCGCCAAAAGCGCTGACGGAATCCTCGGAGCGCTTGGAGAATGGCAGCCTTTGCCCTTGGCCAGTCGATGCCGGTGATGCACAGGGCCTACCAGTTTAGGGTTTAGGGCTTAGGGTTTAGGGGCTTAGGGCTTAAGGCTTCGGGAGGCTGTGCTCTTGGGGGGGTTCCGAAATGTGGGGTACCCTGTTTGGGTCCTTATCATCAGTGAAATTCTACTGTTTGGGGGTCATTTTAGGGTTCCCTATTTTCGTAAACCCCTATTTATATGACATGATCATATATTCAGTTATACGTTCAATATTCAAAAACGATAATGGTAATATATTCAGTTGTGCGTTCTATGTTCTATTCAAGTATATGATACTATGGATTGGCTCTGCCATCCTTTTTTGCAGAAGGCCTCGGGAACAAACTTTGTCACCTGGCTCCTTCCTAAAACCCGAACCAGCATCTGTGCACACAAGTTTAGGGTTTAGGGTTTAGGGTTTGCAATCACTGAGCTGAAAGATATCCCACTCCGCACACCTCCAGCGCCTGGCATTTCTCGATAATCCGGGATGTCACCTTGAGTTTTCTAGAGCGACATACAGCCACACCCTCTACGAAGTGCCCTGTGTCTGTGCCAGTTCGCCAGTCCTTGAACACTTTACCCAACTGTTTCTCTCTCGCCATCTTGTCGACTCTCGACCCTTTGCAAGCGGACTTGGCTGCCTACGTAAGGAGAATTCAACTCCTAGTAAGAAGATCTCTTCAGGGTTGCTGCTCGAAGTGCTTGAATCATCTCTATTGCGCAAGAACTGGGGCTTGAAGAAGTAGTGTGCCAAAATTGCACGACTCCCTGCGGCTGTGCCGCAAACTTGTCGCGAAAGCCAAGCAACCGATGCCTGCTGCAAGCCTGATGCTTCGATTTATATCCCCGTCCGCCGAAAGCCGAAGCAAAATGACCGCAACTGGTCAGTTCTTTTTGTAGTACCTACCTGCAAACCTGATGAAGCACGCCATGGTGTGCCATGAGAAAGGCACCTCCATGACGGGAGGGGAGCCCAAGCAATCGTCGTACCAGAGCTGCACCGACAACCTCGGCACTCAGAGCAGGTGACAGTCAAAGTGGAATCAAGGCTTGCTGGGCTTCATTAATCAATCATAACCGTACGTATAACCCACTTACAAGCCCTTTAAGTGCCCTAATATGGTTACAAGTACAGTTATACCACTCACTGTCCCGTATACAGGTCTTGCACAGATGCGTCGAGGTCCTAGCTGCACGCAACTGCATGAGTGTGCCTCTCTGAGACGAGTGGCAGCTTCAGTGACAATGCCCACGTACCGAGCCACTCCTCTTCGATGCCCACCTCCGGCCCCAGCCACCTGAAAGAACGCGCACGCGTGAGCCAAACTAAAAGGATCAGGTCCTGCAGTGACATGTTGGGTCCTCCCTTTTGCCGAGCTTTCAGGGTGCCGAAGTGGGACTAAGGCCGCAAGGATGTTCGAAAAAGTCTATGCCTCAACCCCGCACAACCCGGCGGGCTTGGAAAGCTTTAGACTGCTCTGGCGAAGCTCCTTCGCAACAGATGCCTTCGCGAAGGCCACTTACCCAGAACTTGTCAGGAGGTATGAGCCAAAGGACATGAGGTTATTAATAGCACTCATCAGAAGAAGAATATTAATAATATTCATATCAAACATATTTTTCATAATACTTATAATGCTAACAATATTGATAATATTAATACTCATGATAATATTAAAAACATTAGTAATCATCATATGAATAATATTAAGTCCCACAAGCCCCGGTTGGAGAACCCTAAAAACTCACAAGCCCTTGTAGTTCGTAAGCTACTGTAAGATCGGGTCGGGTCAGAATGGGTCAGAAACCCAATTTGTCTGTTCCATCATGTTTCCCAAACACTGCGTGCTACGCGTGAGCGTGGAGCAGCCGCCATTGACATGCCATTGACAAGCGCACCCATTTAAGTTGCTATTCAGGGGAAGTTGTCCGGCCAAGCAGCCGCAGCTGCAGCATTTCCACAGCTGGGCAGCATTTTGACAGCCAGCTCAGATCCTTTGCACAGCAGGTGTTGAACTGAATTTGGCAAGTGTTCTCGCAGGAACCATCTTCCCTCCCAATCTGCACCACACACCCCTAACATGAAAAAGCGTTTGGCCACAATCTACTTCCCGGGAACCCTGAGGACAGCTGCTGGATAAACACATCAAATGAAAAAGGCTCAATAAGCACACAAAACGACTCGAGAATTCAAGGGGGTCGAGTTGAATTAGTGGGCTGGAGGAGATTAGCATTCAGGACGTGGCAACCCGGTGCCTCCTAATATTGAGAACCTTTCGGCCCGGACAGTTTCTAGCAGTATTTCCAAGCAGACCTCTTTCATTGGTAAACTACACGTACCGGTGCTTTTGAGTTCTTGTCAACAACGTGTTTATTAAACATGCATGCCCTACACTGCTGCTGATGCCATGGCCAAGCCCGACTTGTTGCAGACAGCCAGCACCTGGTTGCAGCACCATGCAGTTGATGCTGAGGTAACCTGGTGCACCACGTGGCGGCTAGCTGCACAACAACCGTATTCATGTGAAAGCTGGCTTGGCGGGTTTGTCCACGATGTTAGCTCAAAGTGCTTAGATACCTGGTGAATGCTTCTACCTCTGACTCCAAGATGCGGCAGGCAGCACCCGAAGTACGCAATCTCTGCTCAAGCGACCAGCGCGATGCCTCCACCTTGCTTCTTGAAATTCACAAGTCAGATGACATCTTGGATCAGCAACACCACCAAAGACATAATTTGCAAGCATGGCTTGGGGTGTACTGAAGGAGTTCTCTCTGCATTCCGGCCGCGCCATTGAAGGTACTCGACGGAGGCCAGAGAGTGATCTCTGCAGCCTTACCTTGGCATCTATGAACTTCTGAGTGCCCTGCAAAGGTTTGCTCAGGGTTCTGTCAGTTTAGGGAGTATAGTTGGGGAGTAGACTGTTTGAACATAGCTTTGATTGAGTCTTAGCCACGCCAAAGTCCTGCCAACACAATGGCATCCTTGTTTCGGACGCAGGTCTGTGTGAAAGCTGCCAGCCTCAAACAGCAGGCGAGAACACGGCGAAATTGGTGTGGATTGCACTAGATCAGGGGCAAGGCCCGGGCAAGGGACAACAAATAACAAGACAACCGGGATGTTAGGTGTTGGGTCCCAGCATCGCTTGGAGGCCACACCTGATGTCGAGAGAGCTTTGGAGAACAACGCAATGTGTAGCCAGAGCCACGTTTCAAGGACTGCCTTTTTATATGGGGAAATCATGTGTTTTTAATGCTTTTAGTGAGTTTTTTGATTATGATGTTTTGCTTTATGAAAAAGTTATGTTTTCCGTCGACTTTACGAAATTTTATGGACTTTTATGAACATTTTATGATTTGGTCAGTTGTCTGTGTCTCTAATGAAAAATGATGCAAAATTGACGAAAACCTATATTTTTCATAAGACAGATCAGAAAGCAGGCCTCGAAAGGGATGATAGTGCGCCCTATTATAATCCCTATTAAGGACTGTTAGGCCATAGGGGAACATTCCAAGCTACTCAAGCAATTACTTCGCAAGAAGTGTCCAGGTTTCTGACCGCCCAAGATCTGAAAACACTTTCAGGTCGACTCCGACAGCAGTGTGCAAGACTCCTGCCTTTCGGATGTCTGTTGCTCTGTCGTCACCCCACAGGATAAAAACACAATCATAATCATAATAACAGTAATACTAATAAACTAATTAACTAATAATTTCAACAGACAAAACGCAGGCCTGCAAGTGCGACCATGTGCGTGTGGAAACTCAGACATGCAGGCGGTTGCGTCAGTGAGGAGCGCCAGGACCGGCTGCGCCAGCAGCTCCAAGGGAAGGCTGGAGGCGGCCATACTGTACAAATAAGAATGATAATGATAACAATAGTATAACAAGAACAATAATAACAAGAATAATCATAATAGTACTAGAAATAATAATGTGTAATCACAATAATCGTAATAATATAATCGCTACCTCCGGGCTTTGACAAATTGGCAGCAAACACTGGCAGCATGTGGCAGCGCATGCACTTGAACAGGGTTCCAGATCCTGACACGGCCGAGGCAAGAGCTGTCTTGAGTCCCTGGAGGGAGTGCTCGTTGCGCCCTTCGGATACACTTCTAACTCAATGGACGCCCCCATGAATGCTCACAGTGGCATTCTTGCAAGGCCCACCTGCGCAAGTTGCACCAAGCCGTTCGCTAGCTTGTCCTGTCATGCTTGATGCATGAAGCCGAAAACATGCAGCTACGCGCACAGGGATGGCATTTCAAGCGCTGGCATCGTCTCGCAGAGCCATCTTGCAAAGGTGTCTGTCCACGGCAAGCTCGGCAGATACTGCACAAAGATCATCGGAACCTGCTGCTCGACACAGGGGCCAACAAGTAAACATGGACCCTGTACGCACAGCACCACGCCTGCCGCCCCTCCCAGTGCAAAGGACTGCAGGCGCAGACCAGGCAAAAAACTCAACTGACGGATAGCGCCTACCAGGCTGGCTTTTAAGGCTTGCAACCAGCAACCAGCCTCAGAAGCTAGAGCAGCATCAGGGCCACTCTTGGTCGAGTGCAAGAGAGCAAACTGTCTCGCCTCGGGTTCAAGTGAGAACAACTGCATTCAAGACCGCAGTGCTGCAGCCGGGCTATGTACAAGATGGTCCACTCGACCACCAACGCAAACCATTGTGGGCTCCTTCTTGTCCAAAGAATACCTTGTGTCCAGAACAAGTGTCTACTCTTTGCGCCCAACCGGTGAGTTGGCGTGCGCTCAGGCACCCGCATTTTCACACTGAATACAAGCCCTGGCCCATACATGGCATTTACCGGGATGTGGGGGTCGATGGAGATGGACCGCCAGGTACTTTGCGCAGAGATGAGAGAGTCCTCTGCGAATTGAAGCAGTCGCAATCCGTCGACCCTAAAACTAAAACTGCGTGCCGAATGAGGCAGATGTCTGGGAACGCAGCGAGCGCACGTAAGGATCTCAACACCTGGCCGGAGGATGTCGGCGGTGCGTCTTGCGCACAACACATGCGACGTCATGCGAACGTGACTGAGCCGTCTATGCTGTGTTCAACCACCTCGCCGAGCTCCTCTGCAGCTGCAGCATGGGGCTCCAGTGGCTGCTTTCCTGTCAAGTTCCCCCTTCAGTTCACAGCCAAGGGGCCGTATCAGCGCGCGGCTACTACTTTCTGCGGTCGCCGCCTGCGCCCTGGACCTGCAAGCCATGCCAGGTGAGGGCGTCATGTGAGACATTGCGACCATCGGAAGTGTGGAGAGGAGCCGGCTGTCTGAGAGCTTCCTGGTGAGCCAGGAGCTGCGCTGCTTTGGAGCGCCTGATGACGATGACCGCATGTGCACTGCCGCGACAAGCCATGGCTGACTTCTTTCGGCATTCACTTCTGGAGAGGTCGGGCGTGTGTCTTTCCGAACAAGCTAGCAGGAAAACGTTTTGCGGCCAAGCTGCGTACAACTCCTCCACCTTCAGGCAACGGAGATGTTTTCAACTATGATGCGGGCTACTAAGCTTGGATTTCAGAACCCTGCAGGCCTAAATCGCTCATCGCCGTGTCTATGTCGTTTTTTGTGCCCAGCACGTCGTCTTCTTCTGCTGGTACGCTTTGACGGCTGGCTAAGTATAGTCGTGCATACCTAGTAATGTTAACCTCACATTGATAAATGGGGTGGTAATACCAATATTCGCCGGGCCAGAAGGCCCCAGCCCAAGACTACTTTCCATTACGGGAGGTTTTCGGGCTGATGTGTGTAGACAAGTCCATATAGGGGGGGTCCGGTGAGAATAATAATGGGGTGACAACAGAAAAATTTGGCCGGCCAGGAATCGAAAATTTTGCTGAAAATGGCTTAAGAGTTCCATTGCAGAGAAGACTTTTCAGCTGAGCTGGCTTGAAAGAGCTCCGAGGCTCAGTCTTTAAAGAAGCAGATCTCGTTTGAGATTGCTTGTCTTTTGAGATTGCTGCAGCTCCAGAGCTGCGAGAAACTGCTGCTTCAGGCCTGTTTCTTCAGAGAGGCAGGTGTCTTTTGAGATCGCTGCAGCTCCAGAGCTGCGAGAAGCTGCTGCTTCAGGCCTGTTTCTTCAGAGAGGCAGGTGTCTTTTGAGATCGCTGCAGCTCCAGAGCTGCGAGAAGCTGCTGCTTCAGGCCTGTTTCTTCAGAGAAGCAAGTGTTCCTCTAAGGCTTCAGATAAGAATCCCTTAAACTTAAGACTTCAGCCTTCGGGTCCTGGAATTCAGGAAGCCGCCAGAGGTCTGAAAGCAAAGTTTCCTTACTAAAATCCTTATCCGCCGGGGCTCGAAAACAAGTCCGGAAAGGGTACCCCCTTACGGGCCAGTAATAAAGGGGTGGCAATAATAGTTTCGGCGAGGGGGGGGGGGGGGGGGGGGGGGGGGGGGGGGACCGGATTGTTGACACCCCCCCCCCTTTTTTCCAGCCCTCCAAACCCCGGGGACCAAAACAAGATGGGGGGGGGGGGGTTATTAAAGCGACGTTCACATTATGCTTTTCTTGTTGTTGCCGTGGCCTTCTTCTCCCCACGACACTCTCGGCGGTTATCTTCTTGTTGCAGCCAGCCGTCTGTGCCGCCACCAACACGCGCAGAGCACATGAGACCGGCGAGCAAATGAGCAAATGAGCCATGGTTTTTATTTGATGGTGTTTTTAATGGAAATTTATTTCCTTCCGCGGAACCCTTCCGCGGACCTTCCGCGCCTCGAAAGGTAGCTTCCGCGGGGCATGTTTTTGGAGCTTCCTTCCGCGGACCCTTCCGCGGAGCCATTTTCGCCTGAATTCGTACAGTTCCTTCCGCGTAGTACGTTTATAGTCTTAGGCACGTGTCCCATGAAGTTCCGGAACGACTGTCGATGTTGAAACCGAAGCACATGGTGTAGGTTAGTCTGTGGCCCCACACCACGTAGAAGAAATGACAGAACCGCACATGAAAACAATGAAATCTGTAAACGACACAGGTGTGCAGGGTTCGTCGTTTTGCTGCTGTTGAACGGAGAACTACATCGTCAAATCGAAGATGGTGTTTCACAAGGCTACACGAATGGAGCCCATCCTTCCGCGGAGCTTCCGCGAACCTTCCGCGGAGCTTCGGATTTCCCGCACCCGCCTCGCGATAGACGAGGTTTGCGGGGCTGCTGGGTAGGTGGTTGTTACTTGGTTCGTGGTACTTTTAGAGCGTCGTCCACAAGCCTAAACCCTAAATCGGCCAGGCGCCAGGGACCGATGCTCAGCGGCTGTTTGGGGTTGAAAGGTTCATAGGTTATGCTTAAGACGGAGCTTCCGCGAGAAGATGCTTCCGCCAAACCTTCCGCGTGCTTCCGCGGCCACAGCGCGGAGCTCATTCTGAGCACAAACCCAAAATATATTTCCGTACTAAAGTAACTTTCAAGAAGCGCCTAAAAAAACCGCAGCTCAAATGCGATGAGAGGCAGTGGAAGGTGCGAGGTGAGGGGACTGCAGTGCGGCAGCTTGCACTTTGCTCGCCGATGCTCGCCGAGAAACCTACTTCAATTGTTTTTATCGCACTGTGGCCTGAGAGGATGCCTCCTTCCATGTCTTACCCTCTTTGTAAGCTTTTGTTGCCCTTGCGACCCCATGCCCTGCCTCGTTCAGGAACGCCGACGGTGGTTTCGGAGCGTCCTGGGAACCCGCCGCGCCTGGATGCCCCCGCAGTTCTTCCGAGCAACAAAAAACACGATCCGAGCGGAAGCAAAGAAACCACACCGAAACCGCATGGGTCAACGTTCCAGTTTCTGGGCTCAGCTGCTGTGCCTGCAAGGAGTGCTGCCAGCTCTCCAGCCACGCGTTCGAGAGCGCTGTGCGGTACAGCCGGAGGTGCTGAAGCCTATCGTCGGACTGCCAGCTACGAACACTGTCCACGCTCCACCGCAATCCGTGCAATCCCTGAAGAGCATGGCAGGGATCAGACTCTTGACAGATGCATGTCTGTCATGTTATGCACAAGGGTGTGTGTAAGCATTGCATGAGCGTTGGGCCTGGGATGCGTGTCCACTGCTGCTGCCTCGGCCATTGAATCGGCTCAGGTCAGAAAAAGGGAACTGGAGCGAAAGCCTGCGCAACAAGATGAGCCCAAGGCCACTTTGGCTGCTTTGTCTCTCCCCTCCACCCATAAGAACAAAGCTCATAAACATATGAGCACGTCCATGCACAAACTTTTGCCTGTGGCCATGATCTTCAACGCCTGCAAGGTGTACGATTTCAGGAAGCTTCAGAATGCACAGCAGCTCAATTGATTTGCCCTTCGGCCTCCAAGAGCCGTGCGCGAAGTCGCTCTCCGGTGCCTCAAAGGATGGGATAGGAGAACGCTGGGACCATTTAAACACATTCTTACCCATGACTACATATTTGCACATGTTATTACATAATTTGTCACCCCAAAGCCAGGCTTGCGGCCGGCCGCGCGGTCCTCTGGCTGAGGTGCCTCACACAAGATGCAACGCTCTCAGAATCCCCTGTTAAGAGCTCAAGCTGACAGTTCTGAACCTCTACGAGCATACGAGCATATGCCAGCATAGGGAGGGTGACTCAATCCAACTCCGGCCTTACCCGCGCCGGGAACGCCTGCAGATTTCTTGGCCGAGCCTTGGGTGCAGCGCACGCTGCACGCTGCTTCGAGGAAGCCTTTTCGAAGCCTAGTTGCGAAAGCACCTAGCTGAGCTCGGGGCCGGCATGTACCTTCACACCCGAACAATACAATTGAACAAAGGGAGCTGATGGGAGCTGTTCTGGTCTGATTCTGGTCATTTTTCTGCCCCAATAATCCTGAAGATCGTTTGCGACGAAAGCAAGTCAGATTTTTAGTCTGATGGCAGATCCGCCTCGCGCAAGGCCCTGTGGTACGCAACCTGAGAACATCAGCCGAATCAACCTGCCGATTCGATGCACTTGGCACGAATCCTGGCGGACCTCCTGAAGCAGTCGCTGCAATCGTGTGTCTGATAGGTGCAAAGACACCCGGCCTCAGCGATTGAGAAACAGGTTCGTTAAGTGCGCATACCTGTACAGTCCCTATACTCGGCCCAAAGCCAGCCATGTTCGCTGAGTTGAAGAGCTCCGCCAACATTTGCAGGTGCTCTGCCTGGCCAACCGACTGCGACTATCATGTGTAGCCCAGGGACATGACTGACAGGCGGAGACAGGTTCTCAGGCAATCGTGAGACCATCACATGCTTCGATTTCCACTCAGCATGCTCGAAGATGCTCCAGATGTCTTGTCCCTCGACGCGACTCACTTTCGGCCAGTCAACTTCCTGACGGCATGAACTTTTCAGACACAAGACAGCCATGTCATCTGCTGTTCCTGCCGGCTTTTACAATCTTTGCCCCTACGTGCCCTATCCATTGTCAGGAGCCTTGCGTTGCAAGTCTTCAGCCATGGTTCCATCAGTTCATGGTTCCCCATCGGATGACTCATACATCTGTGTGTGCTCTGGTCAAAACAGTGGCTTGCAATCTTTGCCCTACGGCCCCTACATGTGGTGAGCAGAGGACTCTCGCAGCGTGTGGTTTCTCATCCCGCTCCTCCACTTCCTGGCTGCAAGAGCTCATGAAAGACTATCCAGGTGAACTAATCAGACATGGGTACAGTGGATACGGAGAAGCAACCCCATGAGACTACAAAACGCAAATGCAGCAGAGGTGCTCCCACTCCCACTTCAGCATCCATGGGGACTTCCATCCAGGCAGTTGCCACGGACGAGGCTCCCGGACGTAGTTGCACTCCGGGATTTCGTAGCCAATGATCTAGCAGCTCTGAGGCTTAAATCCTCTAGCCGGCTACGGGACGATTAAAGATTTTAGAAGAACAGCATGTGCGAATTGACATCCTGGAGGACTGCACCTTGTAGGCAGGCAAGAACGAGTCTGGATCCCCTTCGTCTGGCTTTTTGAGAAGGCCCTTCCTTATGGACCCACGCAGAATCGCACGGAACATGCGGTCCTGCACAGGCATCATCAAGCATCGCAATGAGAGTCATGGCTCGTGCAGCGTGAAGACATGTGAACAACAACAGTCACAACAGGCGAAGGTTTTTTTGCATGGGGCCGAAAGCGGATCCTTGCGCTTGGCAGCTGCGTTGCGATGAATGACTCCCTGAACCGTGACCTCATCGATAATCTCGCACGCTTCGTCCATCATCTCCTGTCACGAGGGTGACATGCCCGCGCGAGCTGCTCACGAGCCTCGCGCGTCTTCGAGAGTAACCGGAGGTGGCTGCGCCTTGACGTCTTCCATGACTTCGTCATGACTGGCCGGCTGCAAGTCGCCTGAGTATTGCAAAGTGTGGATTGACGGCTGGTAGACACATTAGCACGTGCACACGACAGCAGCAGCAGCCAAGCAGCCATACTCTAGCTCATTGCCATAACGGAGCACCTTCTTCATGGCCTTCTTGTACTTATTCCTGAAATGACAATTGTGGGGCATGTAAGAACGAAGTGATGCCAACTTCCGATCACTACAGAACCTCCGAATACTGCACGAACGCAATGCGAACTACTCAGTCCGAATAGCGCACAAGTTTTGGCGGCTCAGCCCAAAGCAACTTTTCAGTGTGATGGCTCGGTGGTGAACTATTCCGATCCTCCCATGGTTGATCTGAAGTCAAAATTATATTATAAGAGGAACAAGAGTCTTCATGAAGATGTTGTACGCGCGATTGCGAAGATTGCGGCGAGCACGATCTTCATAGTACCTCCATCGACGGAAGTAGAGCGTGTAGCAGCTGTACAGGCTGCGCCGCGCCACCTTTCCACGAGTTGAAGTCACCTTGTCAACTGTGGTGGCCCCAGCAAACGCAAGACCAGCCACGGAATCCTGTCAGTGCAGCTTCTCTGATGAGGCAGGGAGGCATGTGGCTCAACAACACTCTTGGGCGACGTTTTACATCCCTGGTCCTGTGGGACAACAGTGGCAACGTGACAGGCTGCTGGCCTGCTGTCTTGTGCACGCCTAAAAATGCGGCACGTGCTTGCCGCTAGGCACGCAGCTGCCAACAGCACAGCTGTCTGGCTGCTCCCGGGACCAAACTGGCTACTTGGCCTCGATGAAGACCAGGCCAAGACACGTTGCTGCCCCGCTCGGCCGCTGACGCTGGGACCGCTGGGACCACTAGGGCAGAGGAAGCCTGGAGCAAAGCAAAGGAGTGAAGCGACGAGAAGACCTGCCGGCCATAAGGCCGAGGTCAGCCGTGGACCCATTGCTCCCTGAGTACGAGAATCTACCCAGCTTTTCCAGCCAGAGGCTCTTGGCATGAACATCGATCGCAAGCCTCGTCAATGTCACACCTAGCAATACAAATCGTACTTACACGTCGGGCAAGGAAGCAACATGTGCATGTATGTGCACTATACCCATTAAGTCTCCCAGAACATTTTTGCACTTTCCGCCAGGACTGTTGGCAGGATACGCGGCCTCTTGCAAGGTTGACGTTTGCCTTTGGACGGACCTGCGTGGGCACTCGAGATGCAACAAGAATACCCCGCTGATCAAATATTCAAATTCCTGGCGTGCAAGCAACACTTGCAAGGCAGTCGTTGGGCACATCTTGCCTTGACATCGCCGAACCTGGGCATGACCAGTTGTCGTGCAAAGGTGATGGCCAGACAGTATGACAGGAATGCCATAGCAAGCGCAAGAGTGCAAGATGCAATGCAACCGCACCCATTTCGCTCACTTCAAGCAAGTTCGATGGTGCGGGTACGAACTTCCACCTTGCAGTACTCACATCGACTTGGTCGTCGCCACCCGTCATTGGAAGTGAAGTCGCTGAGGTAGATGACCAACGGTTGCTTCATGTTGCTTCAAGTGGCACATGGTGGCTATACTTCAGCAGTTCAGCTCGTGCTCATCGACAGAATAAGCGGAAAGCATCCGTCGTCCAGAAATGCGCCGAACCATGGTAGCTCAACAAGCCTTGCCTCAAAGCTCTTGCTCTGGTGACTGCGTCTTCTGCTTCTTCTTCTTCAGCTGAGACTTCTCCTAGCCAAAAATATGTTCGACGGACGTGTTGCTAAGTCAGTTCCCATGCAGAACCGATGCACGTCAGTCTTGGCATGGGAATCGACAACCTGCCCTCAACCCACTGAGACGGGAGTTCTCTGCTCTCTGAGAAGGCATTGTGGGTTTCTGCCAGGTGTCATACTGCGCCCGTCTCCGCTTGATGATTTCCTGAGCTCACGACAACTTTGGGGTGCCCAAGTCTCCTACGAGCCTGAATGCCGCACAGCAGGCCGCAAAGAACCGCCGGCGTGCGTCTTTTGTGCGCCCCTCGTCTGTGAGCTTGATCTGGCCCATGTGCTCGCCGGCTTGCAGAGGGGTGCCTTGGCTTGCGATGCCAGGTGCATGGGGGTGGATGTGCTTGCGGTTGAGGTTGCGTTTGCAGTTGTGGACGTGATTGCGCTTGCGCTTGTGGTCGTGGTTGCAGTTTGCGGTTTGCGCTGTGGGGTATGCGGTTTGCGGTTTGCGATTTGGGGTTTGCGGTTGTTCTTGTTGTTCTCGCTATGTTGTTGGTTTATATATTGTTGTTCTTGCTGTTCTTGTTGTTCTTCTTGTCGTTCTTCTTGTTGTTCTCCTTGCTGTTCTCCCTGTGGTTCTCGTTGTCGTTCTCGCTGTTGCTCTCGTTGTGTTCGTTGCTGTTCGTGTTGTTGCTATTGATGTTGTTCTTGCTGTTGTGCTGGTTGTTGTTATTGTTGCGTTCTCGTAGTTGTTCTCGTTATTGCTAGCGGTGCTTTTCTCGTTGTTGTTCTCGTTGATGTGTTCGTTGTTGTTCTCGATGTTACTCTCGTTGTTGTTCTCGCTCTTTGCTATTAATATTGTTGTTGTTGTTGTTGTTGTTCTTGTTGTTCTTGTTCTTCTTTTCTTGTGATTGGTCTTGTTCCTGCTGCCATTGCTATTGTTCTTCTTGTTGTTCTTGTTATGCTTCTTGTTCTTCATGATTACGCCCGTGTTGAGACTGCCAGCGAACGGCCAGAGCATCCCATGTGCATGCTTGCAAGGTGATGACGTCCATGCTGCCAGTGAATGCGAATGGCCAGAACATCCATGCGCGCTTCGCAAGGTGCGTGCGTCCGTGTCACCAGGTCGTGCGAATGGCCAGAGCACCCATGCCTGCATGATGATGACATCCAGGTTGCCAGCGTGTGCGAATGGCCAGGGCCATCCACGATGATCACGTCCACGTATACCAGTGCTTGCGAATGGCCAGGGCCATCCATGCCCTGCACGATGATTACGTCCATTACCAGTGCGTGCGAGGTCTTCTGCAGGTTTTTCACTGCACGTTCGACCAAAAACATCTTGATCACAGCAGTGCTCAGGCTTTTTGGGTTCTGTTTCTTTCCTGACACCGACCGAAGAAGCTGAAGCATCTTTCTGTGATCATCAGAAGTATGAACTCACAAAAAACACCCAATTCTCAACCCTAAACCCTTGCCCCTCCACTCGTTCAAAAAACACAAGCACAAACTCCTTCAGCTCTTTTTGAACCGTTGATTAGGGCGAGCCAGATCAAACTATCTCAGTGCTAAAATCTAAACCAAAAAGTTGGAGATGAGAATTTATAAGTTTGGTGCTTCCGGGATAAAAGAGTCCAGGATGTTTATGGAACTAGTTGCTTTGTAACTTGTTGCTATTTCTACGTCCTTCGTGCTTTCTTGTCTGAAACAAAGTTTTTGGACCAAATAGGGTTTCTCGGCCCAAAAAACTTGTGCGGAAACTGCAGGAAACACTGTAAATATTTGTATATATCGATGAAAAGCCATGTTGTTTGCAAAAGGCTGTGTTCATACCTTCCACGGCATCGACCCGCTGGCCTTGCTGCTGCTGCTGCTGTTGTTGCTGTTGTTGTTGCGGCTTGCAGCCCGTTCTGAACTCTTGGAGTCGTGGCGGAGCAAGAGACTTTCTGAGTCCCCCCTGCTCCTGGGTCATAGTATGTGGCCCAAGGTTCAAGCAGATTCAAGCACCAGCACTCACCATTGCTGCAACAAGCTCTTTCAAGCAGCGTAGAGGGTAGGCCAAGATGCACTTTGCTTCCTTCACGGCAAGGCTTTTGAACCTCGGTCTCGAGGCCAAACTCATTAGAGTCCGGGCTGGAGGTGGCACGCCGACGTGAACAACAGACTAGCTATGTGCACGTGTATGGAACTGCGTGGAGTACGGGGAGTACGGTTCGCAACTGCATAGGATTGGGACAAAGGAATGCAAAAACAAGGGCCTGCCTGCAGACTTTTGAAAGATCCGTTCGCAGGGCATACAGTTCAACCGACGGCCAAGCATGTAATCATACTGCTCTCTGCACGTACTAAGTGTCCCAGTAGACAGGAAGCCACCAGCATCTAAACAAGTCTAGGCCCACATTTTGCCTCGTTGCCCCGAGGAGCCCTCTAAGTTCTACATTCTAAAGTAGTACATTGCCATCATGATGGGCGCAAGCAACAAGAAGACAGCGAACTCTGCCAACTGCTATACCTCTTGCAGAGTAACCCCCCCCACCCCACCCCAATAGCTCGGTTGCAAAAAGGACCGCAATGGACTCCACATCGCTCACAAGATGAAAGCCAGGCAGATGCCAGGCAGCATGTCGAAGGAGGGCAGGGTCTCGGTCCCGAACTTTGTCGAATCATACCTCGCAGTGGAAGTGGCGTTGAAGGTTTTCTTGCCACCCGCCAAGCAGACCAGCCACACCGCAAGGCAAACTAAGGGTCTTTGGGGTTCTAGGGTGTGTATCATTTCACCTCTGACAGACTCGTAGACTCATTTCTGGCTGATGCTGCCTGGTCAAGTCCCACCATCTCCAATCCTCGGCGTGGCTCCACCTGCAAGCGCCCCGGACATGCACACAAGTACAGCAATGCAACAAGCAAAGATCGAACGATCGCTGCCCGGATTGATACCCTTAACATGTAAGATGCGACCCAACTTTGACAAAGGGATGGATCAGGTTTGGCCATTTTGGGCTAGTGGGCTTTTTGTTCCGCATCCCCTTGGAGTCAGAGGCAACTAGGGATCTTTAAAACTTTGCCCCTGAGTTTGCAGCCTGCCTTAGACAAGCAGCGAGTTGTAGTAGGAAGATACTAGCCAGCTGGGAGCTGCGTCGCTGAACCCGCACTCGCCGCGAGATTACACACATGAAGGGTGCTACTAGCACCAACCTGCTGACGATGTGCGTCCCTGCAGTTGCGTTTCACCACACTTTAAGCGCCTACAGGTCATCACGACACATCACGTCACAATCCCAAACCGATGTATAAGCCATGCAGAGCATGTCAAGTTATGGGCTCTCACCTTTTTGACCTTTAAGTCCCAGCTTGTGGTACGTATAAAGTCCGAGGTTTCCAGCACCCTAGCCCTGACATGATTGTTTACAGAGACCATCATCATGAAAGCAGCAACCATCGGAAATCATAGTTCCACATGGCTGTCACACTCCACTCTCCTTCCCCTAGACAACAGCAACAGCCACATGGAAAGTCGCCTCTCATGCTACGATGTTCCACGTGCAGCGCACAACAAACTGCTGTGAAGCCGAGTTTCCACATGTTGACTCCCAAATTTCTGCCACGCGAGTTCACCTTTACACGATGTGACGGAGTGGTGGGTGGTGGTCTGCACAGCACATGGCCGTGCTCATCGCTCTCTTAACCAGTCGCAGAACTTTGCAAGAGCAAAACCGGAAGCCTTTAGCTTCCCTGCCTGATGCCAGTAGGTGTGCGGAATGAACAGCATGTCTCCGGGACCGATTTCCCCATGCAGCCAGGTAATGTTGGCAAACCGGGGGAAGTTCACGAGGTCCACCGCATCCTGCCCACGCCACTGAGTGCCACGAGTGGGGCGCTTCTTGCAGCCATGGGTCCTGTCGCACGGGTGACGTCCCGCGCACCTGACAGCCGATGAGAGACTTGTCTGGATGCATGTGGCAGGCAAGGTGTGCATGCCCTGCGCCTTGGCAACGTGGGCATACATGTTGGGAGCCTCATCCTGGTGTACCAGCATGACCTTCGCTGCATTGATGTCTTGCTGCAGCAAGCGTTGAATGCATCACTTTGTGTCACGTCAGGTTGTTGAATACTCGTCGGCCCCGGCTTAGAGCACTACTCTTGGGCCCCTGTTGGCCTACAGCAGAAGATCGAACAAATTGACCATCCTCTACTTTCAGCACCTAGTTGATCAGGAAAAAGGCCACTAAATGAAGATTGAGAATGCCGACAGCAATGTGTAAGCGAGCATGAACGGCTCGCGAAGATGTGAGCAAGCCGCCCATCCCCATGTGGCTACGTGAGTCTTTGTAGTTGCAGTAGAGCGACACTTTTGTAGCCATCCACCAGCATCAAAAAGTTTTCCCCATCATCATTGTGCAGAACCTTGGTCCACCATGTGTCTGGCTTCTGAGTGCCCCCTCCCATCGAATGGTTGTAAGGGGTGCGCCGACATGGTGCCACCACTGCTCATCCAGAGTGTAACGGACTGAGGCCACACCTGCGACATGGCAGCAGACTGCAGCAGATATGCAAATGCAGAATCAACAGTGGTACTAGCTGAAGCCGTCAAAGGGACAGCACAAGCGCGTGCTTTCTTCAAATGCTCCACGCCTCTTGGCATCTGGCCGGGTGTGGCAGGTCAAGATCTGCCAAAGCCTCCGGCTCGTCCTCCAGGCCGATGACTGCCTGGCTTTCGAGAGATGGATGTCTCAACAAACCTCATCCCTGCGGCCAAGGCGCATACAGCTCATCTAGCCTTTTGTCCTCGTGAGGCAGGCACAGTGCTTCAAGACCCTTCCAGCGCACTGAAGAGTTGGCCCCAGTGTCCACTGCACCTTGTAGATCTCCCTGACAAACTTCTCGAAAGGCCACTGGACTGTTGGTCCACCGCGCTCCTCCACCTCTACAGTCTGGCCATGTGATCTGCAACGGGGATCGCGAAACATGAAACAAACTCGCCTTCTTCATCTCGATGTCAATTATTTTTTCTTTGCCCCACAAGTCCACAAGGTAGTCGTCAGTCCACTTGTCAAAAGCCCTCCTGCAAGGCGATCTGTCAAACAGACTACAGCAGTTCCAGCATGACAATCGCAACATATCGCAATGGCAAGCCAGGGAGCTGAGTTCGAGCAGCATTCTGAAACACAACTGGTCCTTGATCCAACGTATGCATCTGTAGAAGTCTCTGCTTTGACACGCCAAACGCAAAAACTACGTATGAACGGTGCAGCTGGTCCACTGTTCGCACGGACGTAATTTTGGTAGAAGCTTTTCCAGTCTGGGACCTCCGTGAGGACCTCCACAGGCTGCTTCAAGCCAACCTCCTGGACAAAAGTTGGGCAAGCGTGGCACCCCAAAGGTCACCGTCAAATTGTTGCTACGGGTTGCTCTTCGGAGCCTCTAGACTTTGGCTTGAGTGCGCATATGCGCCGCTGCAAGCCCATGGATCACATGGGTACAAGCAGGCCATGTCTGCCAAAGCGCAGGTGTCCGTTGCTGGCAGTGCGCCAGCGGTGCAGCTACGCCGCATTTCAGGAGTGTCACGCATTTCGCAGCTCCACACGTCCCTTATAGGATCTCTTATCCAAAACAGTCCTGCATCGGTCTGCCATGTCCGGGCAGGTCTGCAGATCCCCCTCCGAAGTCCGTTGCTCCTTTTGTCACTCCACTTGTCTCAGGAATCTCGGAAGAGAATGCTTCAAGTGCCAGCTCAGCCAACTCCATGAAACCACACAGCTATGTCCTGCGACAACCTTGGCTGCTCACATGCTCGCACACGTCGCTGGCGTGAAAGCGGTACATGACGCCCGGATGCTGTTGCTGGTCGCGACGTCTTGCCCTCAGCAAATTTCGCCAAAGCAACCTTGGGATGCCACTGCAGAGCACTCCCCCCACTCCATCCTCACCCAATCCTCGGCACTTCTTGGGGCCTTGCCCCAAGCACCAGCAGGCCGGTACCCGCCAGAGGCAAGCCCATAGCGAACCACGATATCTTGCGGAATCTTCAGGTGCCGGCTATGCTTCTGTTCCTACTGTTTGTGTAGTAGGTTCCATGCCAAGTGCTGCACCTAGCTGGCCTTCTTCCTACCCCTACTCTCTGTTGGGTGCTTGCATTGCATCGTATACATGGGCGCAATAACATGCTCAATGGTCAACACTTGCTGGAGGCTGCTTGAGCACCAGTGAAAACCGTCAGTCCGAATGGCATCCTGTTCCCCAAAAGTTTCTTCGATGCTCGAGTGCGGTTGCAAAGCCAAAGGCGCGAAAGAGGCGAGGAACCAAAATGCTCCTGACAGAGTATGTTTTGCCAAATGCCTTGTGAACTCCATGGTCAAGATCTGTGGTTTGGAACGCTGTAACAAGCTCCTGGTCGGCTTCCAGGGCTGCATATGGTTGCCTGGCATGGTGAACCCTGTCTAGTGCTGTTTTGTGTTTTTTTGGCCTGTTTCATGTAAACGTGCGAACGGCCAATGCTGAATGGGAACACCTCGCAAACATGCTGGCCACACCACAGGAACTGCACCACAGCGGATGACACTTCACGGGGATGTCCGAACCTGGACTGACTACTGACTAATATGTCCGAACCCAGCCTGCAAAGAGAAGGCTTTTTCACCGCCCGAATCGGACAACAGCTACTGCCGAAAACATCTCAAGACATGCTGAGTGCACGACTGCGACTGTGCATAAAGCTCTGAACTTGGCGCCTCTGAACAAGTCTTGCGGTCTCTTGAGAAGGTTCTGCGCGTTAGCAGTGGCAACCAGCTTCTGAATGCCCCAGCTTATGCTGTCCCATCTCGCCTCTCGGTACACAGTCCCAAAGTGGTATCGCCGCAGCTGCTGAGACATCGCCTCTGCCCACTGCGTTCACGTGGTCTTGGGGAAAGTTGTCGTGCCCAGTGACTCCAGTGACAGCTTACTAGGCTGTCGGCCGCCAAGGGTTCGGCATCCTCCCACTCGCCACAGCTCGTCGAATCACTTTTTGAGGCTATTGCATTGGTTTTTAATATCGATTTTGTAACAATGAAATTTCAAGGCAGGTCACAAAAAAAAACTACCCGGCCTCGGTGCCTTCAGCTCTCCGCGCATGGCGTGCTGCCAAGGCCCGGATGAAGGGTTCGGTCCTCAGGTGTTGGAAGCCTCTCTTTTGCTTACTTGGCACGTTTCCTGGGCCGAACCCATAATCTAGATAAATCTATTTTATATGTTGCGTAGGCCAAACTATCTACTGCATACTGCCGAAGAAACGATAAACATATGAACATGAATCTCAACATGCAGATAAACGGACTCACATATATGTATATATATATACATATATATACATAATTGTTATTGTAATTATTACGTTTGTGTGTGTGTCTGTGTATATAAAAATATACATACACGTAAGGGACGATCCTCTGTCACACAGGATGCTCAGATCGGAGCAGATTGGCCCGTAGCTCCACGAGTGTGTTCCCTGCATCCTCGTTGCTTCGTGGCGGGTCATGACACTTTATCATCCCTCCACCGGAACTAGTTTGACTCGATTTTGAGAACATGGCCACAAGGCGAACAGCAGCTGGTGTGGACGGGCCCTTGGACAGAACCTGAACACAGAACGTGCGAGCACACTTGGAAAGATTCTGGAGGCAACATCTGGGGCAACAGGGGTGCTCGTAGAATGTTTTGGAGTGCTCCGTGCACCCTGAGAGCATGAGTCCACAGTAGTGCGAAGATGTGCTAAGGCACACTCTCGTTTCTGTCTACTCCCGGGAAATGCTGAGACCCCCACTGCACTGCTGGGCCTCAATTGCAGCAGGGCGGTGCGAGATCATGCGGTGCCACCGTGCGTGAGTCGCAGGCGACGAGGCTCCACTGTCAGCACGGACAGCTGGACGAAGTAGCGGGCAAAGTTCATGGACCTGGGCAGCGCAACAACACCCATGAAGGGCTCCACTGCCAGGCTTGTGGGGGGAAGGGGGTCAAGGAGGGCAGGCGCGAACCCAGCGACGGACCCCTTCATTCCAAAGGGGCCAAGACAGCAGATGGGATGTCTGTACCATCGAGCGGTAAGTTTTGATTCATTCGGCACGTCTCTCTGCCAGTGCTCGGGCACGGACAGCCCCGTGTCTTCGACAGACTTCACGGAAAAGCTGCAACCTGTGGCTTACTTGGATTGGCATTTACAGTTTCAGGCATCGATCGCATGAAAAGCCCTACAAGCCCTACAAGCCCTACAAGCCCTGCAAGCCCTAAACCCCTAAACCCCTAAACCCCTAAACCCTCTACAAGCCCCTGGGTATGGGACAGTGCGTCCCGGACTTCCGCTTCAGCCTCGAAGCCGGTGCCCTGGATACACGGTGCACCCATGCAATGATGCCATTGCATGTATGCTATATATACCAATACTATTCTACAAATAAGTAGACTCTCTATATATATATATATACATTTATATGCAAAAACATATACATATATACATATACATAAAGATACATAAGTGTATGTATGTTTCCACACGGAAATACAGGAAATCCTGGCCCAACGGCTTCAGGCCTGTTCCGTGAAGCGGAAGAGCTGTTCAAAGAATGGTATGTCCTCACGAGATCTCCCGAGCACCCCAAGGGTTACTGAATGGTACCGATACTGCTGGTAGGTTCGGCATCCTAGGCTGAGAAAAGTCCACACGTGCCCGCCACGGGTCATCAAGATGTCAGGGAACTGTTTCCGCTATTCCTTGTCGTCTCGGGTGGAACACGGAGAACCACGAAGGGACGTCCTTGGGACGATTCCCTGTGGAACTCCTAGGCCTTCTCAAAGACCATCGTAACTCCCTACGACGTACTACGCTTACAAACAGTTAAGGGCGACAGGCATCTCCCACGAGACTCTCTGACCACGTGCTCGAACTGCCACCTGTGCTCCTGTGTCCTTAGCAGGACACTTCCATAACTCCGTTTTTGGGTGCTCTCGACAGGGACCACAAAGGCGCTTGCTCTATGGAGAAGTGGCCCATAACAGCCTGTTGCTGAAGTAGGATCTCCTGCATGCTGAGCGACAAATTCGTGGTATCAGTCTCTGCATCCTGTGCCCGGCCCCAGTTTTCGCTTGTCATTTGGACCCGGACCTTGTCCCCGATGTGGAAGTCACAGCGAGAGATGCATGTCCGAAACACAAAGCCATTCTGCACCGCCATGGTGAAGGCGCTCATGTCTGACAAGTCCACGTGGATTAGCTTCTTGCCATCCATGCTCGGCGACGAGTCGATGATGACGGTGAGGTTCGCAAGCAGATCAACCAAGACATGGAGGAAAACAGACAGGCCAATCAGCCTGTTGCTTTTGGCGTGCGACATGCAGTCAGGAAGAAACTCCAGCACAAGGGCACGATCTGCAATGCCGTCGGCCAAGAGATGCTCCTGCAACCGCACCCTCTCCGGTTGGGTACACGTGCACCATGCCCTGCGCAATGCCACATAGCCATCCCGATCCTGCAATCGACTTAAGCACGCCAAGCGCACCAAAGCAAGATCTTCTGCGCTTGTGCAGGGTAAGCCGAGAGATCCAGCTCGCGCGCTGAGGTATCCCCAGTAGATTCCCATGGGCGTCGCCTCGAGGAGTCGTTGGAGAATGCAAACGCAGCTTATGACCGCTTCCGCATTCCTGGCAGTCATGAACTTCGAGCCCGGGCCGCCAGCAATGCCACTCATGAAGCCCAGCAGAAAGAGTACGTAGAATTGAAAAGCTCTGCTGTCACTGGTGTCACTGCTGTGCAAGAAGCACCCCTGCAGCTCGGCAATTGATGCCGGGACGTTCTCGCCTTGCAGCATCTGTGCCAGCTTGAAGGCTTCATGATGCCGAAGCGTATCCTGCAGCAAGGCCACCCCTTCAGCATCAAGCTTGGCTGCCGAGGGGACGACATTGTGCTGCTCACTCATGAGATACAAGATCGCCCTCTCAGGCTGCTGATCCTGATCAGGGACTTGGCTGAGCAAGGCTTTGGACTTCCCAAGTCCTCGCATGGCCAAGAGAACCAGGACAGCATGCACGTGCTTCTCGGTAGGGTTGATCCACCGGACTATCTCTTGCAGCTGCTCCCATTGCAAATGCAAGAGCTTGCCAGCTCCTTGGGCTTTGGTATAGATGTCATACCTGTTTGCCAGCAGCGCAAGTATGCTGATGCACGCAGACTCTGCCCGGGTTCTCTCTGCTGCTTCTTCAAAGACGGCATAGGCTCCGAGGCTGGGATGCAGCTCCGGCAGAAGCCGTTGCAACTGCTGCGACAGCTCATCTGCACCTAACGGGCCTAACGCGTGGCCTGCGTCAGATAAGCTGGCCAGGAGCCGCTTCACTGCGTCGAGATCGGTCGCCTCTTCATCAACGCAGATCTTGGAATGCATCTCCGGAAAGGATTCGACCCCGGATTCGGCCATGACCGCCTTAAGAATGTCAATGTTCTCAAAGAGCTTCCGCTGATCGGGATGGAGTTCTTGATAGCATTGGTTCTTTTGGCAACAGCTGTACGCGTACCTGATTTGATCCTCATGCGTATCGCTGATCCCCCGCTGTTTTGCAATGAAGTCCCGTGCATACTCACAGAACATGGCTGAGCAGGCAGGGGAATCACGGACCGCCGAAACGAAATCATCTCCAGACAGTGGGAAAAGCTCTGCGATGTTCTTGGCCCTCAGGGTGGACACATGAATACTAGTTTCTGCATACAAGCTGAGCTCTGCGAACCAGTGTACCTCCTCGCCTTTGAGAATCCTGTCATCTTGCTCCGTTGAGATGTCCGACAGTGTGTATACACCTGCGGTCGTCATGTGCAGAGAACCAGCCCACGCACCTGCGGCAAACACGAGCTCTCCTTTCTCATAAACCTGCTTGCGCAATGTGGTGCACACGTGCGCAAAAACATCCGAGAAAATCTCAAGCGTCAACGAGAAGATGGGAAGCTTTGAAAGGAACTTTCCACGTTGCCCGACAAAAAGCTCTGTGTAGAGTGTGGGTGATATCAGTGACTCGTCAAAGCTGAAGGCTGTCATCTTCTCAAGTTTGTAGTCCACAAACTTCATTACCCGCCCAACGAGTTCGTACCGCGCGTTTTGGCTAGTCAGATACAGTCTGACTTCCCTGCGCTGGCGTGCCCGTGCTTCGTTCATGGCCCGCAGGTCATTGAGGGTCCCGGCAATCGCTGAGATAGCAGAACCGATGACCAGCAGCGAGAACATGTACGCGGTAATGTCGAAGACCCTTTCTATGGCACTGTTTGGTGCGATTGTGGGGGGCGAGGGCGAGTTGATCACGTATCGCAAGGAATGCAACCACTGGACATGGATTTCTAAGTTCATTGCGCCCGAGAGCTCAATCCAACTGACACCATCAGATTGCTCAACCCATCGCCCAAGCCAAATCCAGAAGCAAGCCAGGATGTGGGCCACCACCAAAATTCTGCAGGCTGTGTTCGCAATGGCAATGACCAGCATGATCCATTGACGGCCTGAGGATGCCGCGACTTCCTGAACATGCACATGCAGACGCATGCATGGGCAGACAATGGCAGACACGAGCTCGCACGCTCGCGCACGCGCACACACACACACACACACACACACACACACGCACACGCACACGCACACGCACACGCACACGCACACGCACACGCACACGCACACGCACACGCACACGCACACGCACACGCACACGCACACACTGTCACAAGCTTCGGTTGAAGCCATGTCGCCCATTTGCAGATGCACTCATGACTGTCACATGTACAAAACTTCACAAGGCAGCTCACAGCAAGCACAGCTCAGTTTCGATGCATATGCCTTTTGTGCTCACAGGCCTGCAAACCTGTCTTGAACCCTCAGGCAAATCTTGATTGATGTCTTATCAGGCCTGAAAACCTGAAAGACTTGTTCTGATGAAATCGGAGAGGGCCGACTTTGGTGAGTGCGCAAGTGGCCACCGCGTGACCCATATGCCATGAGCGACTCATACAGGTACACCTTCAAGAGTCCTGGAATGCTTCCACCACAGTTCATTAGCTTCGCTGGCACGGCTGTATGATTCCTCCGAATTTCCCGCGCAAAACATAGAGGTCCTACAGGAAGGCCTCTGTTTTCTCGATAGTGCCTATCTTTCAAGAGGAAGATCTCTTCCCTTTCTATGTTTTACCTCTGTTTTCTCCATAGGTTCATGAAAAAGCGTCTAGGGGGGGCACAGCCCCGCCCTTTTGCAAAAACATTCCTCGCGTGATGGGTTTCCATCATTTGAACACCCCCCCCCCCCCCCTCAGTCGCCCAGGTATCTCGACGGCATCGCGACCCCTAAATCAGCATCATAAAGAGGGGGGCTTCGTTAAAATTGCAAAGGCTAAATCCCATTACCTACATCCTCTTCGCTACGTTTAGGGTTTGGGGTTTGGTCTCTCTATGGCCCACTTGAACAGTGATCCTTCTGTGGGCCACTTCAACAATGGCTGCGCCTTGCCCTACAGCCTCAACCCTTCACCCTCAACCTTCCTTAGGGAAGGCCGCTTCTACAGCGGGCGACCGGGCTGGCCACTTGAACAGTGCGTGTGCCTGCCATGACCATGCAAAGCGCCGAGACGAAGCATCTGCGAACAGTTTTGGGGAGCGGCCACTGCTTCGCCGCCAGGTGTTCTCCATTTTCTTTCTTTACTCTTTGATCACAGAGCGGTCCCTCTCTCCACGCATGGCCACACCCCACATGCATTCATTCTTTGAGTAGCGCTGGGGCCTGTCTACCTGACTCCAGACGCTCAAGCAACCTCGGCGCTGAGGCACTGACCTGAATCATGTCGTGCAGCCTGGACATCTTCAACAAGCGAACAAGCCGAAGAGCTCGAACCAGGCGGGCCACAGTCGCCAACCGTAGAGCAGATATGTCGCGTGCTGACTGTGTAAAGACATTTAAACAGTCCAGGAGGATGAGTAGCAGGTCGAACACCAGCCACGTCTTGAGGTACTGGAATGCTATCGTGGCACGAGAGTGTATGAGATTCCCTCTCACGTAGACAGAAGTATTGAAATTGAGCAATATATCCAGAAGCCAGAACACAAAGCTGCTGAAAAAGGATGCCTGAAAGACAGGATTGGAATCGGTGTTCAGGTCCCATGCAATGGCGATAGGAGTCAGAAACCCATCCAACATGACCAGCACAAGAGCCAGGGTGTCCCAACTAATTCTGAACAGCCCCTCGGGATGGAGCGGCTGTCGCAACCAGTGCTCTCGCATGCGCACAGGGAGTGATAAGCTGCGAGAACCTTCAATGACAGTGTTGACACCTCGTCTGGGCTGGCTTGCGGCGAGGACGGAGGAAAGCTGCGTGGAAAGCTCCATCCATCTGCCGTGGAGGCGCGACTTGCCCTCGGAAGCTCCAACTCTTGTGCATGAAGGGTGGAGTCTGAAAGTCTCCGCCTCCAAGCGCGTGATGCTCTCGCGCTGCTTTAGCACATCGGGCTCCGTTGCCTCGACTACAAAAACTTTCTCCGGCTGCTTCGTGGCCACGAAGGGAATTTCAAAGTCCACGTGGGCTATGGCCACCTTCAAAACCAAGACAACTAAGGCAGAAATGATCCGACATGGTGGAAGAATTGGGAGAGGGGGGAAAGGAGCGAGAGGAGGGAGAGGAACCCGCACACCTCCAGTTCATTGAGCTTGCATTGGATCTGCTGATGGAAAGCTGCCTGAGTTTTGCAAGCCCTTGCAGAATGAAAGACAGGCACACAGGCATCCCAGACAAGCCACAACCGCGTCACGAAGAGACTGGACGGCCAACCCGGTGCCCTTGGAGTCTTTGGCACCGCCGTTTCGATCCGTCATGGCCCTAACGGCCCAAGGCACAAGGTCTGCCCCTGCGGGGTGGTAAACAAATTAAGAATTGTTGCGCCTAGTCACTAAGTCCCCATGCGAACTGCAGGACCCCCTTTGAATGTTCATACAAAGCCATGTCTACAAAGACAACTTTTCGAATCATGGTGCCCATCAGCTGTCAGCCGCCCTTGTCTTGAACGGCCGTGCGGAATCAACACATGCACAGCGTGCGCTGCGAGCTGGTCAAGGAGTCGTGCACACTTCTATGTTTATTGGGTTCTTAACTCCCATAGGCTCAATCCAGAGCAAGGGCCCAGGATGCGGATGCATAGCAGCATGGTGGAAGGAAAGACGAGGACGAGCTCACACAGCTAAGTCGTTGAGTCGAAAGGTGGCCCTAAGGCCCTAAGGGAAACAGCTAGGTCAGCTAGGTTCATTTTTCCGGCTTGGGTTTTGCTTCTTGCGCGGGCGCTGCTCCGGGATGACCTGTCAGCGCCAAACTCTCAACTTGGCTGTTCCGTGTCTAGATATGGTGCTTCGTCTGTCGGAGCGGCGCCTGGTCTGCAGGTGCCCGGAGGAACAACACGTTGCCATGGATCAGGACCCGTAAGAGCAAGGCCTCGGGAGCAAAGAACCCCAAACGCCGACTATTCAGAGGTTTTACGGCATTGAGGTTTCTCGGGGCGTCGATTCTCAAATGGGGAGACGCAGGGTTGAGGGCTCATAGGACTTAAAGTGGTTCCTCCACGTGGCCCATGGTAGCACATGTGCATCTTGACACGAGGCTTTTGTGCACATGCAGAACAATAAATCACTCATACTCTAGCGGAATTGTGAACAAAATGTTCATTCGGTGTCCGAGGGAGTTTAGATACGTTCGACGACAACCAACTGCTTGGGCATCGGCCAGTTCATCAGGAAAAGACTCCTGAAAAGCCCGATCAACATGAAAAGGCCAGTGGCATGTGGCTCTCATGAGGCTCACTGCCCAGATTCTCGGATCCCCGGCCGTCGTGTGCCCACGCTTCCTTCGCTGCGCCTGCCTTGTATCGCAAGTCTTGTTTGCATCTTATGGCAAGTCGGTGCACAGCCTCAAAAAGCAGGTCCATGACCCTAGGATCAAGTTTGCCTGATCCCAGCCTTCGCAGGTACTCAATCCACCAAAACTGGAAAGGGACTCGGGTCATTTTATTATCAGCACATGTTGAAAATGTCATCGTCGCTGTGAAACACTAAGATGGAGGTCAGTGTAAGAAGTCTCTGCTGCCACTTCTGGGCATCCACCAACCGAGCCATCATCTCCATACTGCAACCAGGGGACAACAAAGGCCTCATTACAACACAGAGAAGAGTAAAGCTGGAGAAATGGACAGTTTTCCCTGATGTCACCCTAGTGCAGCTTTTGCCGCTTGAGAGGTTGCGCCGTGCTCTAGCGGAAAAAAGAGTGTGCCGGACGTTCCCTTCAAGAACGCAGGCCACTTTTGCAGGGGTGGCACCGTGTGCTGGAATCCTCGGGAATCAAGAACAGCCTTCTGCACTACAACCGCCTTGTGTTTGCCGATGTCATCGGTTAGAGCACTGCAAAACCCGTCGGCTCAAGAGCAATGCAGCACGCGGTGCTTCTTCACCACCACGTTTTGTGTCACACGCTCTGAAGAGCTCCGGAATTTGGGCCCATTGGCTCCTGCTACAAAGCCTAACTAGGGTGAGCACCGTTCACATTTCGCCGCAGCATGTGTTTCTCCACGTGCTGCTGCTTCATCAGGATGTCTTTGATATCGTAGGCGATGCTGGTTAGATCGGTGTCCGGATCGTTCACACGGCCCCAATTGCCACCTGTCATTTCCAGCAGTACCCGCGTCCCGGAAAATCGGAAGGCACATCTGGACACACACGTCTTGAAGACGAACCGGTTCTGCACAGCTGCAATGAACTCGCCCATGTCGGAGAGATCCACTGGCAGCATCATAACAGCAGCGGCCTCTGGAACGGCATTGACAGCGGGTCGCAGGTTGTGGAGTAACTCGACCAAAACTTCTAAGAGAAGGGTCAATCCCACCAAACCATTGGACCTCGCATTGGCCACACATGCAGGCAGAAACTCGAGGACAAAAGCGCGCATCTCTAATCCATCGGCCAGGAAATGCTCCGTGAGAACTTTCCGCTCCATTTCGCCCAACTCCTCCCATGAACTGCGCAGAATCCAGTAAGCATCAGCATCCTGAACTCGGCTTAGGCACGCGAGGCGCACCATCACCAAGTCTTCTGCAGATGCCGAGGGAAGCCGTAGGGAGTGAGCCCGAGAGGCCAGGTACCCCCAGTAAATGTCTTGTGGGGAGCGGTCGAAAACATGACGTAGCATGTTCAGCCCAGCTATGAACCCCTCGGCGTTTCTGGCATTCATGAAACGGGAGCCATGGCCACCAGCAATGCCACTCATGAAGCCCAAGAGGAAGAGTACATAGAAGTAGAAAACCTCCTTGCCGTGCTTGTGGACAAGCTGCTGCAGCTGGTCCACGTTGGCAGGCACATTCTCACCCTGCAGCATTTGCGCCAGGTTGAATGTCTCATGGACGAACAAGCAGTTCTGAGCGCAGTGGAGGTACGTATCGTCAAGAAACGATACGGATGGCACCACGTTGGGATGATTCGTCATCAAGTGCACCACTGCTCTTTCAGGGCGCTTCATGGATCTTGGAACTTGATTCAGTACGGCCTTGGACTTCCCCAAACCTCGGATCGAAAGAAGCACGAGTACTGCATGGACCTGCGGAATCGTGGACGAAGTCAGCGCCACGATGTCCTGAAGTTCCCTCCACTGATCTTCGCGTAACCGGACTCCGGGAGCTTGAGGCTGGGTAAAGATGTCATATCGGTCATGTAGAAGGGCAAGTAGACTGATGCAAGCTGACTCTGCCCTGTCCCGTTCTGCAGCTTGCTCAAAGACAACATGAGGGCTCACACCGACGTGAAGCTCTGGAATGAAGGATTGGAGTTGCTCTTCAATCCTTGCATCGTCAAGGCCCTCTTCCTGCATCTGTTCAAGCATTTGCGCCACATCGGGATCCGAGAGGCTGGATGCTATGCGCGACGGGCTGTCTGATCTCTCGGTGTTGTGACTGTTCAGCTTACCCACCTCCAGGCTCCTTGATCTCAGAATTGCCTCTCCATCTGCGTGCTGCTGCTTCAGTGCAGCAGCGACAGAGATGTTGGCGAACTGCTGGTCCGGATTGGGGTACAGAATCTGGTAGCATTGGTTCACCTTGCAGCAAGTTCTCGAAATGACCTCCTGCTCTCCATACGGTATTTGCAGGCCTTTCTTTTTCACTGCGTTGATGTACTCCTTGGCGTACTCACAGAACATTGAGGTACATCCTGGCGACTCACGAACACAATCGGCCAAGTCATGGCCCTTCAGCACAAACATTTCTCCGAAGGTGGTAGCTGTCAGCGTTGCCTGGTGCATCGTGGCTTCTGCGTACAGGCTAAGCTCGGCAAAGATGGCTTCACCCTGGATCTCAATGGGCGGGGCGTCTGTGTCGAAACCGTCAACATAACTAAATACTCCGGCAGTGGAGATATAACAATGGGTGTTCCACGACCCGGCAGTGAAGACATACTCCTTCTGCTCGTAGATCTGCTTGGTCATTGCAGCACAGATGCTGGCAAACACGTCGGAAAAGAGCTCGTCACATAAAGCAAAAATGGGCAACTTCTTCAAGTACCTGCTGCGCTGACCAACAAATAGCTCGGTCTGTAGAGTTGTTGAAATCAGTGCCGGGTCAAAGGTGGCGAAGGACATTTTCTTGAGCTTGTAGTCCACGAATTTCATGATTCGTGAGACGAGCTCGAAAGATGCACTCTGACTGGTAAGATAAATGCGGATCTCCCTGCGCTGACGGGCACTTGCTTCGTTCATTGCCTTGAGCTCATTGAGGGTACTGGCAATAGCAGAAACGGCTGAACCTATCACGACAAGGGAGAAGATGTAGGCAAGGATGTCGAAAAGTCTTTCTGCGCCACTTGCTGCCGCAACTGTCGGTGGAGATGGCGCATTGATAACATACCGCAAGGCATGCAAGTACTCGATCCACTCTGCCCCAGCTTCGCTCGCATTGGATTCTACGATCCAACTGTTGTAGCCTATGGACTCGTCACCATCCACGAACTTACCCAAGCCCCACCAAAGACAAGTCAGCACGTGGGCGACCACAATGATGATTCCGGATGTGTTGACAATGGCAATGACCAGCATGATCCATTGGCGGCCCGTCGACGCCGCCATTTCTTGCAAGATGTCCTGCAACTTGGACATCTTGAGCAACCTGAGAAGCCTGAACGCTCGAATGATTCGTGCGTACCTCAGGGCCTCCCACCTTCCCATTTCTGTTGGTGAAAGATTCAGCACGTCCAACACGATGAGGGCTATGTCGAATGAGAGCCACGTTCGGACATAATGCCGCGCGATTCTGTACCGCTGCGTGACGAGCTCCCCCTTCAAGTAGACTGCCGTGTTGAAATTCAGCGGGACATCTACCATCCAGAAACACATGCTGGCAAGAAAGAGCACCCGCAGCAGACAGCGTCCGAACTGGCCGTCGCACTCATCCGACACTCCCCAGGCAATGATCACAGGCAGTGTGAACGCATCAACGAGGATGAATGAGAAGCCAAGCGCGTCCCAAAGCAACCTAAATGTGCTTGCGGGCTGGATCGGCTTCAAACCAGAGAGTCCACGTGGAACTGCTGGGAAGAGGTCGCTAGAGCCTCGCTTCTTGATGGTTTTCTTTTTGGACTTTCGTGCGGCAACGGCAGCCACCGAAACATTGTCTACACGCTGCGTCGACAGCTCCATCCATCTGCCATGCAAACGTACCTCTTGCCCGTCCTGCTTGACCCCGCATGAGACGACATAGCGCCGATTTGACCCATTCCCCTTGTCATTTTCCTTTCCATCAACCGACTTCATGCCCACACTCGCCATGATAGCGGAGGAGTGCAAACTTTTCTGCCTCTGCAAAATGCTGGGGCTGTCCGAGTCTTCTTCGTTCTGCTGAACTTCTTCTTGGATGGTAGAGGGCGGAGCCGTCGGAACTTCATGCGTCTTCGGCGGCGCGGTGAGTGCAGTTTCGAGGGACTCCAGCTTCTGCTGCATCCTTGTGAAGAAAGACTCCTGGGCTTGTCAGCGTGAAGGACACTTTCCGTGGAGAAAGAATCTGCTACATCTTCAGCAGCCACACTAGTCGTGGAGGATACAGTATGCACGTTATCCCTAATATCGCCGACCCGGCTACAGGAGGAGCGCAGAGACACACCACTGCCTCACAGCTGAAGAGTCGCCCCATGTCACCCCCAAAACCCATCCCCCCAGGATCCCACACCGATATCCCCACTGAACCCCAAAGAGCTCGTTTGTGTTCGTCATTGCTCGTCATATTGCGCATGTTTTTTTTTTTGGGGGGGGTCCGTACTGTATTAGCTGGAGGAGATTGTGACTGTATATATATTTGTATGTAAATGCACAGAATGGATGCAGTTGTCGACAAGGTCAATTTCCTCTCTCTCTGTCTCTATACATGTATGGAATATGTTTAACCATTACCCCAAGGCCCCAAGGCAATGATTGCCCAAGACATATTGACATCCGCATAAGTTTATGTTATGCAAGCGTGGCCCACAAATCACCGCAGCGACAGAACATCGCGCGTGTCACTTGCACAGAGAACGCGCGCGCGAACGCGCGCGCGCACGCGCGCGAAGGAGCGAGGCGGTATAGCGTCATTTCAAACACCGCGAGCACAAGTCCCACTATGCAAAAGCATCCTTGCCCTGCAAGGCAGGAAAGTGCGTCCTTGCCGCGTCATCGAGACACCAAGTGCTGGAAGAGAATATGTTACGCCCGTGCACGGCGAACGCACACCTCAACCTTGCCTCCTGAATTGCTGCTATATACTTCAGTATACTTCAGTGGAGTTCACAGCCCTTCCGCGCGGGGGTTCCGCAGAAGCCATAAGATAGTTTACTGAACGTTATAGAACCCCATGGTGCCACAAGTAGTGCTGACGCACGGCATGTTCGGGGAACAGCGTTCAACCCGTTATACCAGCCAAGGCGCCAGTTCATCCCGTACTCCATTTACTGCTGCTGTTGGGCTGATATCGAAAGCTTCCGAGTACACGGGCTCATCTTCGCTTTTGCTGGAACTCCACGGAAACTGCACCATGGCTCTCTCTAGAGGTTAACAGATGCAGCGTTTCCTGTTCCCCTTTCAGGCATCTTGTGTGTGTGGTGCCACGTGGCAAGTTCCGCTGTGTCTTCTTCCTCCATTCTTTGTCTACCGTACTTGTCACATGCCGGAAGATGCGAGTGGAAGTTCAACCCAGACCTGCAGATCCTTGACAGAAAGCACGGGCGTGCGCAGGACGTGTATAAGGCTCGTGGTATTCCTCCTGTATGCATGCCCGAACGTGTCACAGCTGTGAAGGCCAAGAAGCTTGATATGAAATCTCATGCTTGCAGAGCAACAGCCTTGCAAAGACTGGCCGAGGGTACTCTTTCGACTGCGGAGGAACGAACTCCGCAAGCTTCACCTGAACGCAAACTTGAACGTCACAACTCCACCCTCACCACCCACAGGAGTTAAACAGCTCTCCGTGCAGTACCCAAAATCCAAAACAACATGAACTTCCAAGACATATTCATCGGCAACTAGAGGTCCGTGCTCGCCTCAAAGAAAACGAGCCACTGGTGCATGTGGGTTGCGGCGGGGGGGGGGGTGTGGGGGGCGGGGGGGGGGGGGGGGGGGAGGGGAGGAGGGGGGGGGGCGGGGGGGGGGGGGGGCGGGGGGGGGGGGGCGGGGGGGGGGGGGGGGGGATCCAGATTAATGGCAATTGAAAGTTCCGAGATACATATGGTCAGAGAACTGACGATATGTAGGATGCGATGCTGGGAAATCTGCTCAACATCGGTCATGTCTTTCCATATTGTTGTATTGCGCTCTTTCTGTACCTGGCTTCATAATGTCAGATGTCTTTCTCTTTACTTAGTTCGTTCTCTGCTTAGCTTATGTCTTTCTTCTCTAATTTCGCTCTTCCCATGATGCTTCCTGTCTCCTCGGTTGTCTGCATTTGCTTGCTGCTTATGCGATTTTGCAAGGTGCCGCAATGTCGTTCAAATGCGTGCGTCTTTTCGTCTGTTGCGCTTGTTGTCTTATCAGCTGCTTTCCAAGCACCTTCCTGCCTTTTGTCTTGTTGGTCCTGACGTGATTTGTGTCGTAGCCTGATTTGCTATGTGTGCTTTGTTCCATGTTGGTGCCAACATATGCTGTGATGTTTTTCTAGCGATCTTCCAGCGCGATGAGAGTAATGCAACCTGAGAACCCGGCCTTCCCACAGCGAGCCAAAAGCTTCACCGGCGCCTTGGCGGCCGGACACGTGAAAAAGGGGGTCTAAATCAACGAGAACTGCTGGATGTCTTATCATTGCTCCCATTCTGAGAACTTCGCTTCAAGCGTTGATGTGCAGTGTATTGAAAACCTGCGAGATGCACCCAGCTGATTGCAGGACTCTCATGTGGTCTCAAGCTTCACAGAAGTATCGGTTATAACCTGCGTCCCCCGCCGTCCCACGTGTGTCACCCAAAAAGACGTCGCTTCGGAAGGGCGCAGGTTGTATTTCGGAAAGGGGCATGTGAAACAAGACTGTGATTTACAGCACGCCTGCCATCAAATTGTCAGCTTGCACATCTTGTGGTTCAATTTGTTTTGTAGTGTGCTTCGGAGTTCCGCTCTGTTTACGCTGAGAGCACCGGCCATGTCCAGGACAAATGCTGAGCAACCTGCCCAAGCGCAGCCCCCATGCAAACACCTTAGACCTTAGACGATCTGCGAACCCATGCGGTCAAGACAATGCACGAATGGCATTGCAGCGACGGCAGTGGGCTCAGTCAGCAAAACCTGAAGCGCTAAGGTGCCTCCACCATGCCCCAGTTTATCCCCCATGACAACGAGAGTTTACCCAGGCCGAACCCTGCCCCCTGTAAGGTCCTCCTACCCAAAGGCTTCTTCTGGTTTCAACCCCTGCCCCTCCAGCAAAGCTACCCGCGCCAACCTTGCTGCATGTTCTATTCGTGAATGACCTCGTCAACCTGATCAAAGATTCATTCACATCATCCCACTCGGACACCAGGACTCAGAGGCAAAGAAACAGGCGTTCGCAAAAAAAGGGTATTGTGTCACACCCCCCCCCCCCCCCCCCCCCCCCCCCCCCCCCCCCCCCCCCCGCTCCCTTGCCCCTCCCCCCCCCCCGTTCACGGTGTTAATATTAAAGTAGTTCTTATGTTCTCTTCACTTTTGGTATTCTTGCCCTCACACCCGGAAACAATAGGAAAGGTGCTGGCGAATTAGGGTTTCATGTGAATGCGTTTTTCTGCAGTAAACTAACTTTCTATCTTCCCTTTTGGTTTTTACTGGTGTTCGTTTCGTTCATATGTTCATTAGATTCACGCGTTCATTGCAGTTCCTTGCAATCTAATTCACCTACTCTCTTCATCTTTTCAACCTACCTTTCTCCCGTCCCCGGTCGCGCAGCGTTCAAATCAGTCCAGAAAGGCTCAAACGCCCCTGTGCCTCAAGTAGTCGGATCCCGTCAGGGAAGACACGGATCGCAGGTCGATGACCTCGCACGGACATGCCCATCAAAAAACTCAGTGGCCGCGCATACTGAGCCAAGCTTGCCGCCATGGAATCAGCATCTCTGAGCTTGGGAAGTATGGACCTCAAAATGGGTGGTTGTCAAAATTGTGGTCCCTTTTCGGATCCCTATTATAATACGGCACATAGTATTGGGGGTACCCCAAAAGGATCATAATTTTGACAGCCACCCAAATGACATGGTGATAAATGGCGGTTGTTGGATTGGGTGATTGGGTAGAGAGAGCCTTCACAGCTTGACATGTCTCTGCACATTTGGACGAAGCACATTGCGTGGGAGCTTCTGCTCACCAAGTCTAGCGTGTCCCACCGACGCGGGGAGGTGAAACGTCGTCGTACCAGAACACATAGGCCTGCCTCTCTCAATTCTCTTGAGACATGTGCAGGTGCATACTCTTAGGTCAAAGGTTCCAAGCCGGCCGTGAGTCGAGCAGCTACGCCTATTCGGCACCCGCTGAATCTTTGCTGGCCGGTGTATATGGAGATGTGCATTCTGCCCAGAGCCCAACACCTCTTAAATGGAAGACTGCGTAGTCTCCGGGGTAGGTTTCTGCTTCTCACTTGCTTCTTCTGCTATCTCCAGGCGCTTTTCTGACTCCTGCACTGGCTCCAACAACTGTCATCTGCATCAAGCATGCAAGCCCTGCTGCAATGGAAGATGTTGCTCCAATCAGCCATTGTCCTCCTCCGTCTCTATGAAATACACCGCGTGGCCAACTCTGAAGAAGCGCCAGAAGCGTGCGAAGATAATTACACCAACCTATAGTCACGCGATGTCACTGTGTCACACACATAATTATGCACACACGGGCACGCGCAGGCACATGTACACAGGCCCATTCTAAGGAATTCACCACATGAAAAGCTCCACCCACGTCCATGGCGATGCTGCCACGATTCCTGCAGGGCAACCCATCCGTGTGGTGCGTGTTGACTTTGGGAATACTCTTGTCGAAGAAAGCGCTTGCCTAATTCCCTCCCGCTAAACCTCCCCTCCCCCGAATTTCAAACATTTGCTAGGGGGTTAAGTTTGAGTATGGTGAAGCGATCCAGGACAACAAGAAAAATGCCGCCCATGCAGAGCTACGGCATTACCCGATAGGTGCCAAAGCTAGCACCACGTCTCCTGGATCACCCCGGTTGTTGCGTGAGGGTTTGGGTGGTTTCGTGCCCACTCCA